TTGTTGTCTCTAGACATCTCAGAATTTCCTCTTGGAAGGACATGGTGTTTTAGATTAGATTCCATCCTATTGGGTGTGTTTTTGTTATCATTTTGTATCTTTGTTTTTAAAGATTTAGCACGATTTTTGCTCTTACCATTCTATGATTACTTTCCACTGAACAGTTCTCATCACTGTTACATCATGGACTATGTCTTTGTTGTTGGTTAACACAAAATCAATTTCATTTTTGGTGACTCCATCTAGACTTGCCAGGTCCATTTTATTTGAGGACTTTTTTTGAAAAAGCTATTCATTGCTACGAGCTCATTTCGTACCAAGAAACTCAAAAACATTTCGCTTATTTTATTTCTTTGTCCGAATCTGTAGAGACCTATTGCAACTTCGGTCCCGTCTAGTTTACATCCCAACTTAGCATTAAAGTCACCCAGAAAATGTAGTTTTACTGCATTTTCTAGGTCTTCATAAAAGGTTTCCACTTCCTCGTCCGAGTGTGTAGATGTAGGTGCATAGACTTGAATTATTTTAAGGCTGTTTTTTTGTCAAGCTTCAGTATTCAGAGTATTATTCTTGGGTTGATGCCTTTAAGTTGTTAGATATTTTTAGTGTGTTTCTTATGTATAAGAAGTCCAACTCCTTCTATTTTGTCTTTGTTTCCCATCTACAAAACTTGATGTTCTGATTTAAGAGTTATACAGTCTTCTTCTGTGCGTCTTACTTCACAGAGACCCATATCGTCCCATTTTATGTGTTTTAATTCTTCTTCTCATTCCAGTAAGTTTTCTTCAGATGACAGTGTTCTTACATTGTACGTGGTGATATACATTTGTTGTCGTCCGAGGTAGCCTGATCTGACCCGGGATTCTTCGCACCCTCTATTTGCTGTCTTTCTTGAGCGCTACCTTGATCAAGGATCAGCTCACTGCCGGGGACTCAGGGCCGTGCTTTTGTCGTGTCAAGTATGCTTGGATTTTAGCCATACTCTACAACGCTGACCAGTGCGAGTTTGTAGAGGTTAGGATGAAGGCAATCAATCTAACTACCCATATATCTAAAGTGGTCCAACCTTTCCAGGATTTTGTTATATAATTTTAGTACTGACATGGAAGTGGAAAAAAAGACATATAATACAAAAACCATTTTTAATCTGTTGTTAATTACTTATAATAAGTTAAACCAATTTCATAAGAACAGCACGACAATACTGAAGGTTCGGTTTCAAATTTTTTTAACATTCTTCTTAAACTTTCAGATTTTGCTAGAAATAACGCCTTGCACTTCAAGAGATCGTCGTAGTAACTAAAAAAGAAAAAATATTTGATTTTTGTATCTTTTAAATGAAAAACTGTCGACATATCGCACTCAGAGATTTTAAATTCACGTTAAATTCGATTTTACATGTCTTCGATGGAAAATAGCTGAGGTAATAATGATACCAAAACCAGGAAAAAAGACAATATCACTCTTACCAGTGATGTCAAAGCTGTTCGAGAAACTCTTGCTAAAAAGAATGAAACCGATAATAGAAGAAAAAAAAACTGATTCCAAACCACCAATTTGGCTTCAGAAATAAACACTCTTCTGTTGATCAAGTAAAAAGAATTACTAAGATGATTAAGAAATCGTTAGAGGAAAAGAAAGTCTGCTCTACAATATTTTTAGACGTAACTAAGACATTCGATAGAGTATGACATTAAGGTTTACTGTATAAACTGAAATCCTTTATGCCTAGACAATATTCAAAAATTCTGCAGTCATACATATCTGATAGATACTTCAGAATCAAACAAGAAGATGTTTACACAGATTTAAAAGAAATTAAAGCAGGAGTCCCTCAAGGAAGTGTATTAGGTCCGGTCCTCTACCTGTCATACACATGCGACATACCTGAACTAGAAAATGATGCTATCATCAGTTTGTATCATCTTCAGGTGAGAGGTTCTTTAAATATTGGTTGATTTGATTCCATTGTCTTTATGTTGGATTAGTTTTCTTTTGAGTAGTCTGCAAGCTCTATTAAGATTTGTTTTATTTTCTGGATGCCTAGTGAGCTGCCACCTCTTTCGCAGTTTTCTATTTTCCACTATGAGTGAATTTATGTGAGTAGAATAGGACTCGGAGTTGTGTTTGTACGTAATTTCTGAGATGGACGTCCAAGCAGCTCGCTGAATAACTGTAGTTAGGTGAGCAACTGCATTTTCTATATCACTATCACTTTTAAGAGGCAAGTTTAGGTTAATGGTTGTTTTTATTTCTTCTCTATATCTGTTCCAGTATGTTTTTTTATTAGAGAGTGTTAGATATTTAGGACAGTTATGAAATTGACTATGTAGATCTATGAAGAAAGGGGAATGATCTGATGAGAGGTCAAATGAAGGAGAAATTTGGAGATAGGTATGTGATATTCCTTTTACTATAGCGAAATCAATAAGATCAGGAATTTTTTGTCGATCGGTGGGCCAATACGTAGGCTCTCCAGTAGAGAAAGGAATTAAATGATTCTCATTCATAATTATTTTATTTGGTGGACAGTAAACAGCAGATAGAATAATCGGGCCTTGTGAATCTTCGACCGACACTGATGTGGCTTGGATGTTAACTTTATCTTCTGGTTTACTTCAAATTATTTTCTGGAAGAAAATTAAACAAAAAGCAATATTTCAATTACTATTTATAACTGGGAATAACAATATTTCGGCTTATATTCCAGCTTGCTTTAAATGGAACTGCATTAATAATAATAAATATGTAATGCAAAACATATTACCTGCCAATAATCAGTTCTAGGATGGTGAGAATAGGTGCTATTGTTAAATAAATCAGTTTTAGTTACATGACGTGTAAACTTTTGTCTTAAAGTTTAGGAAGTGGCTGGCGCATGTTTCTGCTAAGAAAAGTAGCGACTCCAACATTATGCAAAATGGCTTTGACGGACTTTTTTAAACCAAATTTTACACAAAAAACAGAAAATCGAAGTTTATATATTCCAGTTTTGTCATGTTTTTGGTTTAATATTTATTTCCCATTCCAACAAAGGATACATAATATTGATTTTATATACATACCTCCTAAGTTTAAAATATACTTAACTGATCTGGGTTGTTTTTATTTAATATCAACAGTTTTTGTCGTAATTCTTCTGACTTAAGCGCAAAAAGGGACTTAGAATTTAACAAAGGACCATAACATCTAAAAAATACATAAAAATGTTGATTTAAATATTCAAATAAAAAAAGCAAAAACAATAACAAACAAAATTCAAAATCATTATAAATATTGTGCGGTGTTCGCTACTCAAAGACAGTTGAATTTCTTTCCAATTTGAATCTCAGCATTCTCCTATGTATATTTCGTGGTTTAACGCTCATCAGGGAAACTTGTAAAGAATTAAAGTGAACAGAAATGCTATATAACTGGTAATTATTGTAACATGTCTTCTTTAGATACCGTCTTATGATAGGAGATTGGTTATCCTCACTGCTATTTTAACTTTTGTTACTGCAGCTCAGAATAAATCAGAGCTGGAATTATACCATTTGCTTGAATTATTTAATTACAAAGTTTAAAGAAACAGCTGGCCTTTAAGATGCCAAACGGACTTATGGACGGTAGTTGGCCAAAAATTGGTGATCACAAATAAATTGACATAATAGCAAAAAGTAGTGAACCCAACTTTTCTACAGCTCAAGTTGCGTGTATCTGTGGAATCTGTCAAAAGACAGTACACCAAGTGTTACATAAAAATAAGTTTCATCAATACAAATGAAAAATTGTGCACCAACTTTCAAATGATAACTCAGACCGAAGACTAGAATTCTGTGAAAATATGTCCAATAAAATTAACCAACTACCAGATTACATAAATACAATTTGTTTTAGTGACGACAGTACTTTTTTTCTCAATGGGAATGTTAATACACACAACGTGAGGTATTGGAGTGACACAAATCCTCAGGTCTTTCATGAAAAACATATTTAACTTCCAGAAAAATTAAATGTTTGAGCAGATATTTTGGGAAGTCACATATGTAGTTGCTCCTGGTTTTCTCAGTGCTGTCTTAACCGGTGAAGTGTATCTGGGATGTTACAGAATCCAATTGATATGTCAGATAAATTCGGCAATTTGGAAATAGTGTTTCAACAAGATGTTGCTCCTGTACACTATTAACGTGCATTAAGATGTTGTCTAGATAAAGAATATCATCGTAGATGGACTGAACGAAGAGGTTCGATAGAATGGCTAGCTCAGTCACCGGACTTCACACCATTAGATGTTTTTCTGTGGATATAAAAGCAAAAAGAGAAAAGCAGAGAAGTAAAACGAAGAAAGATATAACCCTTATTGATATAAAGATATTGCTTCATTTAAAATTTTTTTCCTCAAAAGGATTTCCCGATTTTAAGTTGAAACGTGAAAACACATGTAAAATGTAATTTTTACCTTTACCTTTTTACCTTTACCATCTTTACAAATGTTGCTAAAACACTAACTCATACAAAAGAAACAATAAATAATAATAGTTATACAACACGCTATGCAAAGATCAATAGCCGTGACTAAATGGGCTTGGGCCGGATTTGTTGCCAGATCAACGGATGATAGATGGACGATGGACCAGAAAGATTCTGGAATGGCGACCAATACAAGGGACATATAGAAACAGAGGACGACCACCTACTAGATGGGCGGATAATATAAAGCGTATTATCACAAATTGGATGCAAGAAACTTGAGAAAATTTTACAGGAGACCTACGTTCAACAGTGGACAAATATAGGCTAATTGATGATAATAATAACATATTAATTTCAAAGCGGTATTAAAAACTACTTGTATAAACGCGAGTTAATAATAAAATTGGTGATTATTTAAATAATGTGAGCAAATTATTGGACTATCTATAACTTAAAATTTTTACAAGAGACCTTAAAACTTTTTAATTTGCCCATGTTAAAAAACTGAAAAAAATATGGATACTTTACATGATAATGTGTTTATTTTAAATATATTTATAAACATTCATTTGAAAGATATAAAACATGTGAAAATATAACTAAATCTTCGGATAGTTTTATTTTCATTTTTGATCCTGGATCTTAGCAGGACAGTTAATATCGTCACATTGATCGGGCATGTCATCTAAACTCTTTCTGGCAGTTTCGGACTCATTTCTGAGAGCCCTAATGTCGTCATCTGCCATAAGTGTTGCAAATTTCGATGAAGGCCTAAAACATATTTATTGAATTTATGCGAAAGGATTAATGGCAATATGAGAAATATTTCTGATTAATTACTTTTTTATTTCGGTTTAATTGAAATTTTTTATACCTTATATTTCACTATCTACTTTCCTTTATATTTTTGGTTCTGAAGTGTTTATATATTATATTATTCTGTAGCTTTCAATCTTGCTAGTTGCGAAGCTATAATCAATATTTGCCTACTTTCATAATATTTTCTCATACTCTCTGTGGCCAATAAAAATGTTCCTAAATATTCATTTTTTTAAGCCATTCATAATAACTTTTGGCTAGTGCATTTAAAGTAATTCGTTTTTTTTATCTCCACTTTATTTATAATCTATTCCTGCATACAAACAATAAGTAACATTTTTTGAATAACATTGTTAAGGGCATAAGGAAATTTCCGCATAAGAAATTTAGAGGAAAGGGCATAAGAAAAATCCAGCGAGGAAAGACGAAATCCTTTAGTATAAGTTTTCAATACTACTGTTGAACTTATGTGAATATATAATATCCAAATATACAAAGCTACTTGCATCTTTCCAAGTAAGAATATATCAAGATAATTTTAAAAAGGCCATAGACCCGTCGATCTGGCCTAAAACGCAATGCAATCAAAAACATCATAACAGAAGCACTAGGAAACAGCACTGCTGAAGAAGAATATGAAATTCACATGCGAAGATTTAGAGGCATTAATCAGGAAATAAAATAAATGATCAGGGAGAAGAGCAGAGCCAAAAGAACAAGAAATCAGGAAAATAAAAATAGGTCAAACAGACAATAATAGAACATGTAAGCCAAAAATGTGACAATAACGTATAAGAAATAGAGGAAGGAAGCCAAAATATGCAAGAAATATGGAGGCTCCAAAGAAACTTGCCACACTCACACTACACGGAGGAAAACGGAATTTTATACTTTGTAGAAGAAAAAGCAGAGGTGATGAGAAGGTCTCTTGAGAGAGAAAGAGAGAGAAAGAGAGAGAGAGAGAGAGAGTGCATACTGAATTATCACCAACACGAAGACGTAAACTTCGAACTATCGAAGAAGTCGAAGAAACATAACTGGAAACGCCTAAAGAACAAGAAGAAATAATAAATCCCACATCATCCAGAGAAATAGGCAAACTGATATATTAAAAAGTATACCAAGGAAAGCACCTGGTGTAGATGAAATCACTAATAGAGCCAGGAAGTATCTTCCTTCGAATTATTTATCTAACTAAATCTATTAATATTATCTAACTAAACTTTTGGCTAGTTTTTTTACCTAATACGTTATGTAGAGAAATTTTTCAAGTACCCAGAGAGTTTTTTCCTTAGATATTGCTTATCACATTAAGAATTTGTGTCGAAAAAGTCTCAGTTTTTATAAATAATTTAGTGCCAGCTAAACAATCCATCGGACTTCGACTTATCATTGTTAAAAGATTCTTTGACTATGACACATATTTAACTTAAAAAGTTATCGAACATGTTTGCTATTATGCTGAATTATAAAAGCCTCTCTTCCTTTCTTCCATACCATCAAAAAAAAATACCACTCGGCAATATGTTGTCATAAAAATTTAATATTAGCTTCACAAACACCTTCAAAAAAACACTCGTGATACTTCAGGTGGTAAATATTTGATCCTTTCCTCTGGAGCTTTTCCTCTATTTATTGGAGATGTTAAAGCAAAAAATTTCTCTTCAGATGGATCAGGAATCTTTCCAATCTCCGTATATCTTCTTAGGCCTGAGATATGCCCCTTCAAAGGGACAAAAATAGCCTTTTTTACCTTATATTTGAAGAGCTATATCTCTGAGCCCAGTAGACCAATATAAAGTCACAGTACCTCATTTTTAAAATAATGTCGACATTGTGATGAAATAATTTACATAATGGCAAAAGATAAGTTTTTTTATAGGTCAAAAAGAACGAAAAGAAGGAAAAAAATCTATAAACAGTTAAATTTATAGATTTTTAAATACCTTTTAAACGAGCATTAATAAATTACAATCCATTTAGTAGATTTGAAGATACACCCTTTTAAAATATCCAGTTTTTCGAAAATCGCATTTGTTTATATTTGTAAACTGATAGTACTTCTTCCTGACAATTTGAAATTGCATAAAATTGAGGTAAAGGAAGTTCTATATATGTATACAACTATGTCTTCTTATCGAATTTCTTGACCCGGGCCTTTAACTACTTTTGTTGACCGCCTAAAAATTGGGCTGAGCCGTTTTACCTTGTATTTGAAGAGTTATCGACCGATTTTAATTCACAAGGTATCATTTTTTTTTGGTATAATGTCAACATTCTGATGAAATAATTCACGAAACCGCAAGTTTTATAAGATATGTTATAAGATATTTTATTTTATGATTTTAAATTAATTGGCAAAATTTAACCAAACAAGCAAAAAATGTAGAGACTGGTATAAAATACTTTTTAAACAAGGATTGGGAAATTAAAAGCCATCTAGTAGATTTGAAGATATAGCTGTTTAAAAATAGTCAGTTTTTCGAAAAATCACATTTGATACACGGATCCCACCTACACAAGTGGTCAAAGGTAAAAATACTGCTTATATATATATATATATATATATATATATATATATATATATATATATATATATTATATATATATTATAAGGATCACTCAGAAGAGTGGTGGGTTCTTATATCGGTCTCAAGGTGGAGAAATAAAAGACAAAGTTGATAGGCTACTTTATCTATTTTGAAGACGTTTCGCTTTCGTATTCTGAAAGCATCATCAGTTCATCTTAAAAAGACATGTAGCATATATATATATATAAATATATATATATATATATATATATTATATATATATATATATATATATATATATATATATATATATAACTGGATCAACCTGTCAAGTCTATTTTCTATCATATACACACCCAATTACTTTTGAAAAGTTTGATGATCTCTCGAGGTGCTAGCATCCATTTGTCCAAAAGAAAAATTTCCTGTACTCATGTCGGCTACCCCACTACTGTTTGCGTTATTTCTCCGTAGAATGGGTTTCGCAGGAATCGTGGCATCAAATCGTGTCTGTGAACTAGTTATTGGACCGCTAAAAATGAAACAAACAATAAAATTTTGAGACATATTAATATATTTAGACCAGCGTCCTAAGGCTTTGCAGCTTTTCTAATAGTAACACGATTTTTAAATAAACAGGATAAATATACAGCCAATTTTGGCAAAATAAAATCTATTTTGTGTTATGTATGTTTGTTCGTTGTACCCATTGCATAAATAAAATTTTAAATTAAAAAGTACATACGAAAGCTCTGAAATTAGTATTTCCACCACCAGAGAACAAACCCAGTACCTTCTATTCGATTACATATGCAGACAAGATATCAACAAAAATACCCACAGATAAAAAAGAAAGGAATAACACCAGCTTTTAGAACAAACAATAACTTAGGCAAATATATTAGGAACAACAAGAGCCAAAATAAAAAGCACTTACACAGTGGTCTATACATACTCAAACGTGGCGACTGCCCAAAAACTTACATCGGTCAAACTGGTAGAACTTTTAACAAACGGATAACAGAACACAAAAAGGATTTAAATAATAGAAAAACAGGTTTTACGTACGCACTTCACATTCCAGATCATAATCATTCTTTTAATCACAAATTTCAAATTCTTCACATTCAAAATAGACCTTGAGCTACTTTTATAAGAATCTATGGAATTAACATATTAAAAAAATAAAAAATAACCAACGTGAGGCAAACATTTCCCCTCTGCTCATCTTATTCAGTTAGAGACCATAAAAATCATACCAAAAATAGATCACTTGAGAAAGGCATTCTGCCGAAACAGCTGTAGTGGTAATAAATTATAATAAATATTGTGGAAGTGTTGAAAACAAAAATTTTCAGTGTTTAATTGTTAAATGAAATGAATTGTCATCATGGACGGTCTAATCGATCACTGATAAATTTGTATTTAACTTATTTCGTCATAAAACTTAACACCACCACTGCTAAAATAAACGTTAGATAGATATAAACTCTTATAATTATTTAATATAACTATTTACTTGACATGCCACAAAACAAATTTTCAGAACAGTTGGCTGAAGACGTAAAAAGGGCAGGACGTTTGTTACTAAACCAACTTATAATACTACTAATTTGTCAAGACTCCTACTTAGCCCTTTATAATATATATGCTCTTTAATGGATCTAAACTACTTATCCATGCGTTTAAAATTCTTGCTTAATAAAATATAAATTAAACACAAAATAGCATAAAGCATAGCATAGCATAAGCATACAATTTTTGCATAATACTGTTGCACATATACCTTTTGGATTCATCAAAACTTCTCCCTGCTCCTTCTCTAAACAGATCATAACTGAGATCGTGCCGTGTAGTATCTTGTGGAACAGTTACATTTTGAGAGCGAAATGTTTCATTAGCAGAACCTCCGTAAGAGAAAAAGCTAAAAGGTTGGCTGACATGGGAAGCTGCTGGAACATTTCTAGACGTACTAAAAGAGTTTTTTTCATATTAAACATAAAAAAAATTTATAAAAATAAACGATATTTATTATGTAATCAATAAAATTGATAATTTTATGTTGTTGTATTTTATTTACTTTGAAATATTGTAGTAATTGGCATACCTAAGAATAAAACACTGACTTTTAATTTATTTATTTCCATACATTTTAATAAAGATATGTTAAGGCCTTTATTTTGAATACAGAGAATTTAAAATTGGTAATTAAAAAAATGATTATGATCTAGAAGGTGAAGTGTTAGCATACAATCTGTTTTTGTATTTTTGAAAGCTCAGTTGTGTTCTGCTATATGTTTGTTACAAGTTGTACCAGTTTGACCGATGTAAGTTTTTGGGTGTAAGTCAGCACATGTAAGTTTGTATAAATCACTGTGTAAGTGTTTAGCTCTGTTAAAATATTTGTTTAAGTTATTGCTTGTTCCGAAAGCTGGTATTATTATTTTATTTTTTATGTGTTTGGCTATTTTTGTTCATATTTTGGATTTTTTCTGTAGTGGTGAAAGAATCTATGGAAATAATTAAAACAAAAAATACAGATATAACTATTAACTCTCCTGTCCTTAACTTATTCAGTTAAAGAATAAAAAGAGTAAACGCATAGTAAAAATATATCACTTGCGAAAGGCACTCTGCCGAACCACCTGTAGTGAAAATTAATTTTAATCACAATCATAGTAGAAATCTGAGGGGTTTCTCGCTTGGCAAAACTAAAATTCAGATATTTGTCTACTTCGCTTTCTACAATATACAAAGCAGATACATTTATGAATTAACCAATAAGGATAATCTACAATTGGCATTTAACAACTTGTCGATCCACCATGATAAATATCCTTTGCGAATTACTGTCTTATACTCACAAATCATCATCATCATCATCATCATCCAGCCTCTATTTATCACGTCCACTGCTGGACATAGGCCTCCCTTAAACTCCTCCATTCCTCACGATTTTGTGCTCTTTGTTGCCAATTTTTAGTGATACGCCTGATGTCGTCGGCCCAACGTGTAGGTGGTCTTCCTCTACTGCGTTTGTCTGCTCTTGGTCTCCAATTTGTAATTTTCGTGAATCGTGCATTCTCGCTACATGGCCTGCCCAGTTCCATTTTAGTTCCGCTATGCGTTCCACAACATCAGTAATGCTCGTCCTTCTTCGCAGATCTTCGTTTCTTATTCGGTCCCTCAACGTCACTCCCAGCATAGACCGTTCCATTCGTCTCTGTGCCACTCTCAGTTTCGAAGCCGTGGTCTTGGTTAAAGTCATAGTTTCCGCCCCATAGGTCATGACCGGTAATACGCATTGGTCAAACACTTTTCTTTTGAGGCTGATTTGTATGTTGGCCCTAAGTGTGTCTCGCAGTTTTCCAAAGGCTGCCCATGTTAAAGTAATTCGTCTTTAGATCTCACATGTTTGGTTATATATATATATATATATATATATATATATATATCACAAATATAAGTAAATAAATGAAGCGGAAAGACGTTTGAGCTTTAATTTCAATTCAGGTCTTCTGCCATCCGCTTATACGTACTTTGACCTTATTAGGTCTCCTCAGAGCGACTTATGCAGAAGTTCTGGATTGAAAACTATATCTCTCCTATCATACAAAATAAATATAAAAATAATTATATATAGATTGTTGCAATACTGGTCTAATTTTAATAAATTTTGTGAAGAAAGTGAAGAAAATAACAATTAATAGTGTTTTATTCCTAGAAAAAATTAATTTCGATCAAGTAACGGTCGACTTCATGCCTTAATTTGCATATACTGACCTTAAATCTGCATCGTAATGGTGGCTTGCATTTATCCTTGTACCGCTAAAAGCATCTCGTGCTCTAGTACCACCAGGTTGAGGAGCTCTAGAAGATGAATACAGTAAGGTCTCTTTTTATGTGGATTATTTTTATGCTATTTTAATGTTGTGCGGTTTGTATTTCATCCAAAAATTTCTATTATTATATATAACTATTAATATAATTAAATATTAACTATTCACATCCAGATGTCAGTAATGTAAGCCATCGCAATTTGGATTGAGGGACTAATTCATAGAAGAATTTCTGGAAGTGGTTATTTAACACATTGCCTGCGACGTCAGCCAAAATTTACTGACAAAATTTTTTTTTGCTGTAGGCCATGTCGGTCATATATGAGTGACAACATTGTTTCACTGGGGGACACAGGCATTTTCTAATAAAGTTCGTGGGAGGCCACAGCAAAAAAGGAAGATATAGGCAAAGGTTTTTATGTCTAGATTATCATGTTTTCAGCAAAAATTATTGTATGATAAAAAACATTAGTTTTGTTTATTAAAAATCACCCAAAGTCACCCAATTGTGACTGACGTGGCCTGCCCGAAAACTTATTTTGGTAGAGGCCATGTCATTAGCATTCATGCATCGAGCAAAAAGACAAAAGAGGGAATCTAATCCTTATGAAAAGGAGACCAAAAAAGTGGCCTCTAATGGCGGTCATATCCGGAAATGCGAATGCGCCAAATTTAAATTTTCCGACACTTATTAACAGTAGCTATATAATATTTTTCAGAATGTGTCTTAGACGAGAAAGTTTTAATTAATTATTAACGATAATAGTCTAAAATGCGACACAATTGTTAAAGAACTTCAATATAAATAAGATTTCATGTGACATTTGGGACAAACAATAACATAACCCAACTAAATTTGATGTCAAACAAGGAGAGAGACTCTCTTTCCTTGTTTAAAGTGGCCTCTAAAGATCGCACTTCCTGTCTAACAATATTTTTGCCCCCACTACCTTTACATTCCCTCTTTTGTCTTTTTGCTCGATGCATTCATGTGACGATTTAAAGGTTAATTGTTGTGAAAATAATAGGTATTTGTATCTTAATTTACAATTTATGTACGTGACGCTTTGTTGAAAAAATACAATGTCCAAGCGAAAGTATCAAAAGTATTTGACAGAGCAACAATTGGAAGCTGCTTTATTAGAAAGTTGATGAAGATGAAGATGATCAATTACAATACAGTGAAAGCGATACGGTAGCGAAAATGATAATTTTGAGTTATATGATTCAGGCGAACATTGGCTTCCCTCTGAAGAAGAACCCGACAATGATAGTGTTGAGGCATAACTACATTATATGTAAGAGGAGGAAGAAAGAGGAGAGGCAAAAATGAAGATAAAGAGGCTTTAGAAATAAAACTCGGTATGCAGTGTGTAAAGTATTTGGCAGGAGAGGACTGAGACGCCGTCATATTCCGTGGTTAAAAAACCTCCGAAAATGGTTTGGGATGACCTCAGCGGAGCTGTTTCGCAGAGCAGTTAACGATACCATGATAGCCTTGATGATCGCCAACATCCGCACCGGATAAGGCACTGAAGAAGAAGAAATAAATGTTCTAGAACCAGAAAATAAAAACGATCCTCACACTTATAATCCTTAGTGGTCAGATTATACAGGATGTCATAAAACTTCTTCTTTTCAAGGTCATAAGAATATAAATAATTTTATGAATGAAGCTGGCCATGAAATATCTCCTCGGCATTAGAGTTGTCAATGCTTACCTGGCAATGAAAATGGTGTCAAAGAAAAAAAAGATGCAAATTAAAAGGTTCCAAGAACAACTGGTTCAGCAAAAATGTTAGACATAGAACCAAGAGAAGAACCTATAAAAAAACAGGACATGCATTAACCAAAGACAAAAAATTCATCGTATTTGCAAGCCTTGTTACATACATTTGATTGGTTCTCTAGAAAGGTTGGAAGCCAGAAAGAAAGTGAAAAAAGTAATGACTAATTGCTGTGGTTGTCCTGATCAACCTTATATGTGCATGAACTGTATGTAAAAATCCATATACCCTCACGTAATAATTTTGAGTAATAGAAGGGTATTCAAAAGATATTGTGTCAGTCATATATGATTGACATGGCCTAACGGTAAAAATTTCCGTCAGTCATATTTGTCTGACATGGCCTCCAAGAATTGAACATTTTTTTTGGTGTGGCGCCCCATGAAACTTTTTGAGAAAGGCATGTGGCAGGCAATGTGTTAATTCAGGAAAAGGTTCTTCAGTTTTATGACTTAATGAAACACTCAGACCCACCATCTTCCACTTCCTAATCCGGTAAAAATTTTCAGCTAGCAAAGGATGACTAATCGAGTTTGTAAACAGAAATGCATTACATAATATCAAGATCACATGAGAGAGTGCTGCAGCAATTATAAGCAGCAGGAAAACTATTTCCACAGGAGCTAGCGAAAATTATTGAAGATGGGGACTGTTGTGCCGATCAAGGCCAAGGATGAAAAAACTGCAAGTGGATATAAAGCAAGTAAAGATTGAGTAATATCATTATAAAGTTTGTAGCAACACACCAGGAGATAGGATGTTGAAACCACTCTTAATAAATAAATCTCTTAGACCGCCTGCTTTAAAACTCAAAGATTTACTTTACAAGTAAACCAAGAAAAAGCAGTTGATGTTAGAAAATTGATAGAAAAACAATATAATTTAAACTGGAAGAATATTGAAGAATTAAGCTATTTTAAACCGTTTTAGAACGAGACAACTTTGAAAAACATCCACCTGCAGACGAAGTTTATAAATAATTAGTTTCCTTTTAACAACAATACTAGTAAAATTAACAGCTTCCCCTGTTTTCCTGTTTATCGACACGATATAAATAATTATAAATAGTCACAAAAACGAGTAGAAATATGGACCAGTTTTTTTAAGCTTTTGTATCAATTTCTTTCAGATATTCTAAGTAATTTATTATATAGCTTATTTCTTTTAATTTCTGGAAACTTTTTTGTTTTTATCTTGATTTTACGTAATTTTATAAGGCTAAGGGACGTATCCCTACTTTTTCAAGGCAAGTAATGTATTTTTTTACGCAATTTTTTTATGTGTTTTTCTGAGGAACGTATTCACCACATAAAATGAGATCTTACTGTAATAAGTATTGTTGTAATTATACCTGTTCATACTAGCATAAGAATCTTCGGTTTCAAAACATTTATTTTTTAACACAATAACTGAAGTACAACCTGATGGCGAAGCACCGGAACATCCTTGTTGTCGCGAACAATCACAGAGGGCAGCTGTTTGTTGATTTCTAAAAATAAAGTATTTTAATACTGGTACTGTTATTTGTAATTATACTGAGCACTTAGATTTTTTGGTATTTACTAACTTTTTTGTTAATTTTTGACAAAATCTCTTTTCAAAAAATGTCTTCTTGGTTTTTACTAAAGTCTATAAAACATTGTAAATCTTATCTTGTATAAGTCTTTTTCCATACAGATTCATCTAGTTTCATAAATTAATAGAAATGATAAAATATGCGAAAGAACTTAATAGAATATATCAAACAAATACCAAATATTTTGGATTAAAACTTAAAAACTTGTGAAATTATTAACTGCAATCACACAGAAAGAACGAAATTAATAGTATACAAAGCTCTTGTCAAACTGCTCTTTTTATATATCAAACAGAAAGAACAAACACCAAGTCACTACAAAAAGAAATAAAATGTAGAAGGGAGCTAGCAAAAATGCCGTAAGTAAAAACATTTGGAAAAAATCTCAAATTTTATGATCTCTATTAATGAGGTTCATCAACTGCTTAATATTTCCAATACTACTAAGATGCGAAATATTCATAAGGGAATGATTTGCTTAAAAACTTAATAGAAAATTCACAACCTATGTATGCTGCCTTAGTGAATAATTGAAAGATTAATGCTGGTCACAACAAGAAGATATATAATACAAACCAGGATAGTAAGAGAGGGGACTAAAACAACAATTGTCGTAAAAAGATTGCTCAAACCAAACGGAGATGGGACAAACAGTACATTTAAATTATATTAGGTTTACTAAAAGACTCATAGAATGGAGAACTAAAGAAAACAAGAGATATCGAGGTAGATCACCAACAAGTTGGATGGACAACTTACGAAAAACAGCAGAAAATTGGATGCCGAAAGCACAGGATAGATCAATAGATCATAGAACATAGAACATAGAACGTAGAGAAGAGGATAAGGAACACCTATATCCTAAATAAGAATGCAAGAGGTTGGCAGATGATGATGAATAATGTCACTTACTGGTATTCATCTGCCTTTTTTCTAAATAACGTTGAAGATTTTATAAGAAATTTTTTCTGAGCTTGATAATAGGCTTCTAAGTCCTCCATTAATCTTTCAATATCAGTTTCGTCCAATGTCGTTTGGCATGAAGATTCAGCCACGCCCTCGTCATACCAGGGATCGTAAGTCCTAAAATAGTGTGTTCTATGAGTTTAGGGTTTACCGAAAATACAAGTATAGGCGCAAATGTCAACCATAAAATAAAATATTTCGGTTTGGCACTGTTGGGATGTTTTTATATGTATATATGTTGTAAGCTTCAAATATAAAGAGATAAAGCTTTATAAAAGTACATTTTGATTATATTATATTATGAATTCTGCAATTTTTGATTTATGTAAAACAAGAATGAGTAAATATTTGCTTCTTTGGAGATTAATTACAGTTAATTATTAAAATTTTTTTTGGCAATTGCCCTTTTAGGATATAGATTTGGCAATCGTCAAACTAGCACTTGCCAGATTGCAACAGATGTAAATATTCCTTAAAAAAGATTGAATGTACCGTAAAATTGATCGTTCTCCAGATATTTAATGCTGATTTTTTTAAATTTTTGTTAGAATAAATATTTCAATCTTTAATAAGACAGGACATAATATCTCGGTTTGTATTGGGTCGCAAATCGGCTAACAAAAAATTAAAAAAACGAATCTCTTCGTTTTTTTTTATATATTTTATCTGTATTGCTTATAGTTTTTTTAGCAAAATATAAGATATTTGAGTTATTTATGAAAAACCTATTAAAAATGTTTCTTTACGAAATTCAATCTCGAATAAGACAAAAAATATGCATCAACAAAATCTTATACAACATATTTTGCTTAAAATCTGTCCTCTAGCTATTTGTGGAGTTAAGTATTTTGGATATGAAAATTTTCACCCACAATTTGGGGTATATCATTTGGGATATTGGGTACACATCCCCAGAGAAACAGCACAAATCGGCATAGGGTAGATTTTGCTTGTTGTTATTTCCAAGCTACTGTTATTAAACTTTTAACGGAATCGATGAGTCTTCAAGGAAATAGGAGGTGGAAACCTTGATAAACTCGACTATTGGTTAAATAGCATGGACGACAGCAAAGATGAGATTTTTAAGAAGAGCTACAAGCTGCAAAAGAAGAGATGAAATAAGAAATAAAGACTTACATAATGAGCAAACTGTGTATGCTATAAACAAGATAGCTGATTATAAAGATAAATGGAGACAACATATTCACAACATAGAAAACGAAATACCAAAAAATGAGTCAATTACAATCCAAAAGGCAAGAGAGACGTAAGAAGACCTCAAAAGAGATGGTCACAACACTATTGTGAAGAAGGAACAGGCAAAGTCTAATCACCGTGTTAAAGAAATGAAGATTAATTTTTCAGTAATGACTATATTATGTTACTTACTGGGAGGAATAATTCGATCTCTGAGAATATCTAGGTCCAATTCCAGAACTTTCGTCGATTCTGGACCGAGAATGGACAGACGATCTAGACTTCTTAGCAATAACAACATCCTGGTTTCTATATTCTGGTGGAATTTCTATAATAGCCGTATCATTGAAATCGATCGTACCCTTTGGAATTATTAACTTTTGAGGTTTTTTAGGTTTCGTTCCATGTCTACTCATTATGAATTTCAAATTATGTGAAATGGAATTGGTTGCTGCATTATGCTAATTCATTTTGCTAAACACTAAAATTTTGGCGACAATGTCAAAAATCTGAAAGAACTGCCTGTATAACGTCAAAATTTTAGTTGCAGTTTTACGTGATCTTATTTCTTTAATTAAGAATTGATATAGTGTATTTTTGGTATGTACTCTAAATATTATTTGTATAGTTGAGTCCATGGTTCCTTGCTCGTGCGTCATCATTTAAAGCATACGAAAAATTTGGAAATTTACTCCACACAACAGCAAATGACAGGACAGTGGCTACTGCTCCGATCATGGAGCATGATTATATTATAAAATTTGACGTTTTTTGAAATAAATAGAATGTAAAATGTTAGTTTTAATTTAAAATTTTGGTGCAGAATTACAGCTACATTTGAAGTAGCTCTTTTAATAGCATTCATCACCTTCAGAATCTGAACTTTTATCTCCAATGGTAATTATTACATGTTTGATATTAATATTACACATGTTTTCTTCTCTAATAAACCACTGTTTAATTAATTTGTTAGTATGGTGTACATACTTTGCCCAGGCGACATTGTAACGATTATATTTTACCTACCTCAGGGTAAGATTATGGGGGTAAAGATAGGGCAAGCAAAATAAACGCTACTTGTGCGAACGGCACTCAGGGTTTGTTAGGAGAGCTGGGGTCGTGGACAAGTAAAAGATAAGGGGGGTGCATTGGGGCAACTACAAAAATATGAAACAAAAGGTCATGAATCTCTTGGAATAAACAAAGCAAAAAGAAATAGTAAACACCTCTAGTAATTTAATATAGGGCGCCACTTTGAGGTGCCTAATTATACCTATTACAACCACTAGTTGTAACTAGGACAATAATTAGAAAACATAAAAACATATCTTTTTCAAACAAAACTCAAAAAAGGGGTAGTTAAAAAAATAAACAAAATGTTAAGAAAACAAAATTTAACATTTATTGTGTCTTACCACAAACAGTTACATAACATAGAGAATACAAGAATACTCAAAAAACACAATACAAAAATATTACCTCAATAGTCGCCAAATACAAAAAACTTACATGTCATCCATTTACAAACTTGAGGAGTTGGAGATATTACAAAAACTTACAAATGTTACTGCACATAGGTTAACCTTTTCTTTTTTTAAACAAAACAAATGAAAATCAAAAATAATAAAGCGAGCTGTCTTATGTAAACATTAAATTTAAAACAGAAAAATTTAAAATGACAGGTAAACTCAAAACCTAAAATTTACCATTTTAAATGTAACAATTTTTAAATTTTAACGAAAGCAATTATTATTTTATAAAAAAAAATTGTCTGTCTTTCTATCTTTATACTGCCAAAAGCCTTGGATGATAACCAGGGAGAAACAAAACGAGGATGGAATCGACGATTCTTCCAATTCTAACTCAAAACATTAACTGAACCATTAACTTTACACTGATACACATTTTCTATAAAAAAGAGCAAAAAACAGAAAATTTTACAAATTCGACATGAATTTGGACATAACGCTGAACCGCTCTTGATCGCGGCTCCAACGAGAGTCACAAAATTATCCTTAGAAATTAATCGCACAAGTTAGAATAAATAAATACTTTTAATGGTTGAAACGCAAATCATTTATTAGAAAACGCAATTCAAGCAGTTCGAATAAAACATTAAAAGAAATACCGAAGAAGTAACATCTGTAAAATATAATAAACTATAAAATGGTTTATATTCTTAAGCTGACTTAATAAGGAATTGAAAACATATTTGGGTTTTTAATTGAAAGATACGAACTAAGAAACATGGGAAAAGAATCTTCGTTATTTTAATACATATATGACGGGATTTCAATTTAATACATATACGAGGGGATTTCAATATACTTCAAAGAATTTATATATCAAACGATTTGTTAATGCTACAACATCATTACGCTTTTGAATTACTTCCTTTTAATATTTAATATTTTGACAGCGTGGGAAAATTTTGACGTGTGACGTCACAAAATGAAGGCCGACAGCTGACAACTGTCATGCCACTTGTCAACTGTCAACTCTTAAACGTGACATTTATTCTTCTTTTTAGTCTATCGTCTCTCAAACGTGAAGATTGCGTCAATTCTTCTTTTTCGTCTGTCATCTCTGAAACATCAAGCTGGCGCTTTCCTTTTCCTTTTTCGTCTGTCATTTCTCATTCTTTTCGTCTGTCATTTCTTCTTCTTTACAGTCTGGCGATTCTTCTTTTTCGTCTGTCAATTCTTTTTTTATTTTGCGTCTGTAAATTCATCTTCTTTGCATTTGTCGAGTGTCACTTGTAAGCTTTCATGTCTTATCTCTGAAATATGCGCAGATAACTGTTATCAGTTAATATCTCTAGTGATAAATGGCTCAACGTACATCAACGTGCAAGTATCAATGGAAAGGGAAGGAGCCAACAAATATGTAGACACAGAAAAAAACATGGTGGCGTATTGCCAAAAGGAAACTTAGCTCTTTGAACGAAAAGAAGAAGAAATAACAGACGAGAAGAAGAAGAAATGACAGACGAAAAAAAAAAGAATAGCGCCAAATTCACGTTTTAGAAATGACAGTCGGAAAAGAAGAAGAATTAAAAAATCTTCACGTTTGAGAGTTGAGAGCTGACAGGTGACATGACAGTTGAAAGCTGTCGACCGCCATCTTGTAACGTCACACATTAAAATTTTCCCACGCTGTCAAAAAAGTAGTACGACCGTCAATCCAGTATATTATAAGGATCACTCAGAAGAGTGGTGGGTTCTTATATCGATCTCAAGGTGGAGAAATAAAAGACAATGTTGATAGGCTACTTCGTAGAAGTCTTCGTTGAAGACGTTTCGCTTTCGTATTCTGAAAGCATCATCAGTTTATCTAAAAAGTACAATATGAGAACCACACAATCATGGAAAAGATGTTTTAAGTCTTACCTTAAAAAGACATGTAGCAGTCAAAGATATTAACAAGTTTGTGAATAAAACTCAAGTAAATGGACATTATACGGTAGTATTGTATAAATAATCAATTAACTAACAACATTTAGCAACTTATTAAAAATTAGCAGAGCAACTGACCATGTGGTCTAAAGTATAAGTAATATTTTATTTTATCTTAAGTGGTGAAAAGAACCAAGAAAATCATAGATTTACTTCCAACTATTTGATAATTGTTTAGCTTTGATTTTAACTTTGGGTAGCATTATTAAAGTGATGTTTAATAAAAAATTATTTTAAAAAGTAGTGTAAATGAAGTTACCGATCAAAGCCTTACAGCTGCTGCCGGGAAAATAGCGTTAATTGAAACAGACCGAACTAAACCGTGAAAAGACAGCCAACCTTGAGGTCAGGAATTTGATAGAGCAACAAGGTAGAAATACCACCCTAAATAATTGGTGGTCTATTTAAAAGTTTAGATGAGTTTGGATGACAACCCGCTTGTAAGATAATATGACAACGGTTCCAACGGTCCCCCTTTCCTTTTTTCTAATTCCAAGTACTCGATTAAATTTAAAACGAGTTCTTGTGCTTGTGAAGATGGAGTTTTTCAGGTATAATCTAAATAAATTCAATAAAATAATTCCTTTTTGTCATTTTTTTCACTTTTGCGGTAATTTAAACCATATTCCTTAACTGTGTGAATATTATAATATTAACATAATTTTGCCATTATGTTAATATTATAATTAACATAATGGCAAAATAAAATATACTTACAATACAATTTCAAACTTTACTTCAGTTACGTGGCGACGCAAAACTGTTGAGGTTACATATTACATAAAAAAATATGTATTACGAAATGCTTTAAGTTTTACTGCAAGAAGAAAAAGATGGCGACGATTTGTTATTGTATTATTGCGTTAGGAGAAATCCTGCAAAACCATTGTACTTAACTACACTGAAAGAAGGCTCTTATAAAACATTGATCAAAAGATTTTATTCACTTTTTGGGCGATCTATTTCCGAATATTTTCTTGAGATTTGAATGTTGATCGAAATTTTTGGAGATAATGAGGATGGTCGTTTAGGGAAGAAGGGAACAAGTAAAATATATAATACAAGAAATGAAAATAAAAGAAAGGGTATAATTGGTCACAAATAGACGGGCATCTAAAAAAAACATAAAATAAAAGAAATACTCATGATGAAGTTGAGGTTCCTAAAAAGAGGATGCACGAGGCGTTGTATGGCACCGGTCCATTGAATGTGGCGAGTATTCTTCTTTTTCAGTTTCTTTTAAAATATAACTAATTCAGATTCTAATGGCGAACGCCCTTCTATTACCAAAAAAAGATTCATTAAAAATATTTTTTTTTGAAGCAAAAGCAATGCTTGAAGCAATAAACTAGATAAATAGTCTCGACATTAATGTTTGATAAATATATTTTAATGGTATTTGTATTATTTTCAGTATCAAGTAATGTTTAAAGTTTTAGAAATTACTACAAGCGATTATTAATTTATTTCTCACCAAGTATTCAAACACCAAATCATCACCAAAAATGTTAGATTTATTTTGAATTCAAATTATTTATTTAATTGTAAAAACATATTTTAAAGGGGACACCCACAATCTCTTGTTTGCATTTGGTCGGACTTCTCAATCCTGAACAAGGGTACCAACTTGTTCATATCCATTCTTCTCTGCCGGAACAGATTAACCAATAATCGCAATGCTACTGCAGCTTCCTCCACCTCACTTATCGATAAATCTTCTATGTACGCATCAAGGAGTCTTTGTCTTTGAATAACTAAATTGTGACTTTGAGGTGCAACGTACAAAAATAGATCATCCGGTTCGTAGACTACTACGCCACCATTAGCGTCTACAAATAAATATATGTTATTATAATCTCTTTATCGACACTATCTACTACATAAAGGTATACCGGGTGGTGAATCGTCCAACGGGCCATAGGAAACTCAATGGGAAATTTTAAATTGTTGAATTGCTGCTTCCCTAATTATTTTAGATCAAAAGTCATAAAAACCATTTGTAGAGGACTAAATTCTGAATTAAAAACAAATGTTAAAACCGTTCTACGAATCAAATGTACTTCAAAATTTTGCAAAAATATAATAGATTTTTCAGACCACCCCTAAAATTTAGGCCACACGTAATACAAGAATATATTATATCGTGTGTGTTTTATCATATTGTTGTCAGATGTTTGACAATTTGATTTGTAATTTTTTTTATTTTATGATTAAATTATAAACAATGAATTTTACTAAATACTACTACTACTGAACAATATTCCTTTGTGAACAATAAATTATATTGTTTACAAATCGATCAATATAATGAAATGTACTCAGTTGACGAAAAATCGCATAATGTTGTATTCAGGCAATAGCGCGAACCTTTTCCTGTCACTACCGGATCTTTATTATTTTAACGTAAGATATTCTAATACATTAAAATTTAATTCCATGTTAAGTTAAGTTATACAACAATTCAATGAATTCCAATATACTGTTACTGTGATCTTTATTGCTAATAATAATATATGATAATTTATAAACATAAAACTATAACAAATGCTATAATAAAACATGAATAAACCATTTTTATTATTGCTCTTTTCTCCTTAACTGAGTACATTTTTTAATCAACTTAATTTTTCTTTTAAATAATAAATCCCAAAATTTTGGCCATTTAAATCATAGATAAATATAATATAGTTGATTTAAATATTGTCAAATATTAGAAACGTCAATATGACAAAACGCAACACGTAATACACATTCTTTTCACGGCGTCTGGCCTGACTTTTAGGGGTGGCCTGAAAAATGTATTATATTTTAGCAAAATTTTGGAATACGTTTAAGTCGTAGAACAATTTTAACAATAATTGCTTTCGATACATATTTGAGTCCTCTACAAATAGTTTCCCATGACTTTTGGTGTAAAATAATTAGGGAAGCAGGAATTCAACAATTTAGAATTTCTCATTGAGTTTCCTATGGCCCGTTTGAAAATTCACCACCCTGTATATTCAGTTCAAATAGTCTCCTCTAAAATTGACAATAGACTATCAATTAATTTTATAAACAAAAAGACAAGAAACAATATTTTTTGTGTAAATAATAATAAAATACCATATGTCTGTATGATAAAATATTTGGGTATCACCTTAGACAGTAGGCTATGCCGGAACGGCAGAGCAGCAAAAATAAAATATTGGAGCGCAGCATCAATTAAAACATCAATCAACATATCAATCTACTATAAAATACTTTTTATATAAACAGATACCAAGATTTATCTTGAATTTGTCTAGGAATCAGAGCATTATCAATGATCCATGATACTTCAGAAAAAATAATCGTGTAACATTTTTTTATCCACTACGTATATTATAAATTTTGAATAATGTTTAAACACTTTAAGAAAAACGTTTTAGAATTTTGAACGAGAAGGCATAATCTACATGTTTATTTACACAGCTAAATTTCCTCTAGTAAAATCAATCGTTGTCTCTCCCTTTAATTGGTTTTTCTCTCTTTCATCCATAGCAATTTTAAAATAATAACTGAGTTTTCAATAAATATAGGCAAGAAAATGTCTGGTACCATAGAGAAATAAAAGATTTTTAAGTCAGTTTTTGTTTGGAAGGCAACTTCGATCTTCGATCTCGTTATAGAGTGGCTTTTTGAGCTAATACTAAAATCAACTGATCTGCATAACAAAGACCTTCGAGTAATCAAGAACATATACTACAACCAATCAGCATCCATTCGGATAAAAGACCAAGTAATGGAGGAAGTTGCAATAAAGAGAGGAGTACGACAGGGCTGTATACTATCTCCCCTATTAGTTAACGTCTATTCGGAACACGTCATGAGCCAGGCCTTAGAGCATATCAAAGAGGGTATTCTCATAAATGGTGAGCGCCTGAATAACATCAGATATGCAGACGACACCATTCTCTTTGCAGACAGTTTAGAAAGTTTACAGACACTAGTAACGTACTTGTGGAGAATCAGTCAAGAATACGGGCTTGATTTTAACATCAAGAAAACAAAGTACATGGTCATCAGTAAGAAGCATATTCCACCTAGTCAATTACTGGTAAATCAGCAACAAATACTTTAAGTGCCCCGTTACTACTAGTTAGGAACCACCAGAATGTTTTGACAGAATGAGCATGATTTTTAAGAGCCACGACCTACTCTTAAAAACGAAAATCATTTATTGAGATGCTACATGTTTACAGTGCTGCTCTATGGGGTTGAACCATAGACACTAACTGAGGCATGGGATCCATGGGAAAACTCGAGGCGTTTGATATGTGGTCCAGATATATTGATTCACTTCGCAATGCTCTCTGTTCTGTTTTTAAAAACCCATCAGAGCCGGTAGCATTGTGGACATCTATAAAACTGAGTTTCTTCGTTTAATTTAAATCCAAAGATAATTTTTAACCCGGATTTTGGAAATTTAAGAATAATTCTTTAGTTGACGAGTGATTGTTAGAACATAGTTCAGTAATATCGTTACATTTTCAATAAGTATTTGTTATAGTTTAGGTTATGTTAAGTTAGGTTACAAATAGAAATTTTGTAAATTGTACCGAATGCAGCAGCATCCCCTTCATTTGGAACGTCTCCCATAAGCACTTGCGAATTTGTTAGATCTACAGTAGAATATGGTTCTTGGAGTAGAGGATCTGTATCTATTACTTCAATATCAGGTCTTAACAAACCTAAAATTAAAAGAAATAAATTTTATTGATATATTATTCTGGAAAATTTAAACGCTTTAAATAAACACTTTAATGTTAACTGTTACCATTTTTACTGTACTTTTCAAAGCTTACTGAAAGTTAAATCTGCTGGAAGAGAAAGGAAAAATAATTCTAGATATTTGGGAAAAAAACTAAAACAAAGACAATGGTATATCCAGGAGTTTTACAAAAATGCAAATCTACTACTGAAAGTGGTTGGCACAAACAACGGCCTTAACACAACAAATAAAATGGTACTTTTGTATAAAGGAAGTTTGAACATTGAAAAATACAGTAAAATGAAATTGGAAGAAAAACTTTATGTTCTAGGCTTCCAATTAAAACCAATAAAGGTAAAAATTTACAATATAAAGACTTGTAAAAGATATCCGTAATAATTCTAGTCCTAATTCCAGGAAGAATACTTTTAACTCCATAACTCATACGGCCGTACGACGATATAGGCGATACCTTTACAGCCAGATCTATAATTTACCCATGATTTTTATATGACCTTGTGCAGCCCTTTGTTTATTTTTAAATTCGTTCCTTGTCAAGCTACGTACACCTGGCAAAAAAACCTTTAAGATTTAATTTGATTGCTGGGCTCCTGCCATCGGCATATATGTATTTCGACCATATCAGGTCTCCTCAGAGAGACTAATGCAGAAGCTGGATTGAATATAAATCTCTACCGTTAAAAAAGAATAATTATATAAAGGACGTTATAACGCCATTTAGTAACAATCATAGTAGAAATTCGAACATCATAGTAAAATTCAGAATTAATTACTATTAAACTGGGAATAAGCCACAATTAAAGATAAAAATACGTTTATTGACGTTTCAATTTCCACTTCGGAAATCGTTCTCAAAATACAAACAGTAAATTAAACAAATTTTGTTTTTTGTTACATAGTGAAAAATTCTTCTAATAATTTAATTTTATTTGACTCATTTATATTGACAATTCAGACATACATTATGCATTTTAAAGTAGACGACTTTAAAATGATATTCCCAATATTGTTGAGTTGCGCTCCTGGGACGACTTTACTTATAAGATAGTTCATTCGATTACATGAAATCAACTTTAACTTGAGAATATCCGTCAGAAAAAAAAAAATCATAGCATGTAATTCGTCTTTAAAAAGACAAACACATGACATGATGACAGTAAAATTCTCCTGTTAGTGATTCCATAGTAAATTATGAGGGAAAAACCAGGAAAAAAACCTCACGATACTATCCCGACATTGTAAGTATTTGTTCGTGAATTTAGTTTACATTCAACAAACATCAAAATTCTGATTTTATATGTTACGTTATTTAAAAAACATAAATGATTTATTCTCTATATGTTACTGACTTACTAATACTGTTTATCTCCATTCTTAGCCGATATATTTATGGAAGATTTTGAAACAAATATCATTTCTAAACAAAATTTCAAACCCACAGTATGGTGGAGGTATGTAGATGATGTATTCTCAATATGGCCTCATGGATCAGAGTTGTTAGACACATTCCTAAATGATGTAAACGATAAAGAAGAGACAATAACATTTACCATGGAAAAGGAATATAATAACACGCTACCTTTCCTGGATGTTTTAATCTCTAAGAACGATACTGGATATGAGACTCAGGTGTATAGAAAACCAACACACACCAATAGATATTTAAATTTCAAATCGAATCACAATATTAATGTAAAAAAGGGAATAATTAAATCCTTATACGATAGAGCCAAAATTACTTGTTCTAACGAAAATTCGTTCTTGGAAGAAAAACATTTGTTAACATCTGTTTTATTAAAAAATGATTATCCTTTATCGTTTATACATAAGGAATTTTCAACAATCGATCAAATAGAACAGAACAACTTAGAACGAGATCCTACAGCATACACAAGGAATAATATGAGGAAAATAACAATACCGTACATAAAAGGATTATCAGAAAAACTTAAAAGGATAGGAAATACATTCAACATTTCAACAACATTCAAAACAACAAACAAGTTGAGATCTATTTTGTCCAAAACCAAACCTAACAATGAACAAGAAAGGACAAAGAATTGCATTTATAAAATACCTTGTGAATGCGATCAGTTTTATTTAGGTGAATCATCAAGGCCATTAAATGTTAGAATAAGTGAACATCAATCCTACATTAAAAATAGAGAATTTGATAGATCTCAAATCTGTAAACACGCATAGGATAATGAACATAGGGTTCAATGGAATAATTCAAATGTACTCCTAAAAGAAACGGATGGTAAAAAAAAATCAAAGAAGCGGCTCTAATTATGCTAAATGAAGCCAATTGTGTCGCAAATTCCTCGGCAGAATGTAGTAGGTTCTGGTTATCAATATTGAAAGAGGAAGTTATTAATAAGAAAATACCAGTATTAGTAAGTCAGTAACATATAGAGGATACATCATTTATGTTTTTTAAATAACGTAACATATAAAATCAGAATTTTGATGTTTGTTGAATGTAAACTAAATTCACGAACAAATACTTACAATGTCGGGATAGTATTATGAGGTTTTTTTTCCTGGTTTTTCCCTCATAATTTACTATGGAATCACTAACAGGAGAATTTTACTGTCATCATGTCATGTGTTTGTCTTTTTAAAGACGAATTACATGCTATGATTTTTTTTCTGACGGATATTCTCAAGTTAAAGTCGATTTCATGTAATCGAATGAACTATCTTATAAGTAAAGTCGTCCCAGGAGCGCAACTCAACAATATTGGCAATATCATTTTAAAGTCGTCTACTTTAAAATGCATAATGTATGTCTGAATTGTCAATATAAATGAGTCAGATAAAATTAAATTATTAGAAGAATTTTTCACTATGTAACAAAAAAACAAAATTTGTTTAATTTACTGTTTGTATTTTGAGAACGATTTCCGAAGTGGAAATTGAAACGTCAATAAACGTATTTTTATCTTTAATTGTAGCTTATTCCCAGTTTAATAGTAATTAATTCACAATGCCACAAGAAAATAGCTTCAGAACAATAAAATTCAGAAGATGGAATCTTAAACTGCTCAAGGCATCCCAATGTTTCTATCATTGACTAAACTCATTCGGGGTAGCCTTGTCTGAAGAAGGAGTGGTCAGTGGAGCATGAGGCTCATATAATCCATACTCTGGATGCTATGTGTCCTATCATATATTCATTTCCTGATTCAATTTAACAGTATGAACCTCTTTCCAAGTCTTTGTTTTGAATATCTGCCAGACCTTTTCTGATAGATCTAACCGTATCTAGGTTAGTTTATTCTTTATATAAACCAATTTTACAATGGAGACAGTATTATGCTTATAGAACCAGAAAAAAAAAGAAAATCATGATGAAGTCGGCATATACCTAGGTCACAAAAGAATAAATCAGAGATGTCACATTGATATACCAAATTACAATACGGGAGAAATAGTAACTGAAAACATATTTGTGCTTTTCAGGAAATTTAAAACTGCAAGCGTATACAGACCAGTGAAGAACGATATAATACTACTAAATAAAAATATACATAGTAGAAATCCTAACAAATACCATACAGATCTGTTGCTCATTACAAATCTTTAGATTTAATGAAAGGACTAAACGAATTAGCCTGGTATACGAGATACATAAACAAGATCTACTAAAAGGATTACCACAATTATTAGGAGACCACGTGTTACTATAGTATAGAAACAACACTAAAAATTGGAAATCGTGGATAGAGTTCAGCGAAGATTTTAAAAAAGCGTCCATCGATGGTAGTGGTCAGTTGTTGGTGGAAGTGCGAGCACACAGAGAGCTAATGTCGGCGTTCGGCGGCGTTATCGTTACAATTACCACAATATAAATTATAATGTGCAATTACTCACTGACAATGAATAAATGTATAAAATTTAAAGTAAGTGTGACTTACCAATGTCAGTTAATTCCAGCAACTGCCTTTCCTGGGGAGCTAAAATTTAACAAAGTAGGTATTTAATGAATAAAAAATCTCTATGATTATATCTACTAAGGATATATCGACTATTATGATGTGTAAAAATAAAACAGAACAATTATAAAAATATAGAATTCCTATATGCATCTACTTCGAAAACAAAATCCATGATGAATATGATTACAATAACAAAACGAAATTTTTTAAGCCCTTCTTTCTATTCGGCTTGCCGAATATAGGCCTCTCCTAATTCTCGCCATTCATCCCTATGTAAGACGTTTTCATATTGGTCCTGCAGTTTTTTTAATATCGTCACTCCAGCGCATTTGCGGTCTTCCTCGTGGTCTTTTGGCTTCATATGGCCACCAATTCCCAATTTCTTTATTCCGTCGGTCATCTTTAAGATGTTCGTTATGTCCAGCCCATTTCCGTTTTAGTATAGCTGCCTGTTTGACAGCATCTTTTACTTTTGTTCTATTATGAATGTCTTCATTGGTTTTATGGTCTTTGAGTGAGATACCCAGCATCTGTCGTTCCAAAGCTCTCTGAGTTTTTCTGATCCTTTCCATGTTTATTTTAGTAAATGTCCAGGTTTGAGCTCTATATGTAAGTACAGGTAGGATACAGGAATTAAACACTTTGATTCGCAGTCTTTGAGGTATATTTTTATTTTTAAGTACGTATGAGAGTCTTTTGAATTCTGTCCATCCCATTTTTACATGTCTGCTTATTTCGGCAGTCTAATTTTTACAGATATGTATATTCCTCTACATGTTGTATCTCTGTACCTTGGATGTTTATCATAGGTTTGTCATCTTTGTTTGACATTAGTTTAGTTTTGCTGAAATTTATTTTCAGCTATTTTTTAGGGATTCTGTGTGAAGCTCCTCAATCATCGTATTCAGTGCATTCCACGTGTCGGTTATTATTACTACATCATCTGCGTATCTAAGATGGTTCAAGTATCTTTCATTGGATTCCCTTATTTTCCTAGTTTATTGACTTAAAGATATCTTCTAGGGCAGCTGTAAATAATTTTGAAGATATTGTGTCTCCTTGTCTTACATCTCGGTTGATTTTCACTGGTCTGGTCTTGTTTCGATTCCATTACCCAACGTCACTATCATTTCAGCTTGTTCGTAAATATTATGTAGTAATATTCTGTACCTAGAGTCGTTCCGGTTGTTGACTAATGCTTCTTTTATTGCCCACAGTTCTACGCTAAGCGTTTTTATAATCTATGAAAGCCAGACAAAATGGGAGATTGTATTCATTAGTCTTTTATATTAGGATTTTCAAAGTATATAGATGGTCACAGGTGCTGTACCTTTTACTAAATTTGGCTTGTCCTACTGGTTGATATCCATCAAATTTAATTGTTAACCCGTTTGTAATAATATTTGTAAAGGTTTTGTAAAGTTGTGAAAGAAGTGAAATTGCCTTCCTTCACCTTCCTTCAGCATTTCTGCTAGGAATCCATCGCTTCCAGGAGGTTTATTTCGTTTTATTTCTTTTACTGATGTTTCTATTTCTTCGAAGCTTATTTTGGGCATCACTTCTAAATTGACATTTGTTATCTGCCTTTTCAAGTTCTGCTTTGAAGAGTTAGGGGGATCGTTTCTGAACGATACAGATTGGCGTAGAACTTTTGAGTTTGCAATATTAGATTTACTTTTTTCTAGTTGGCCTTGTTCATTTTTAATGGTTATTATGTTTTTCTTTCCTAGTTTCGGTTTGGTACATTTAAGACTTCGGTTTTTCTCTACGAATTGTTCTATACAGTCTTCTTGATGATTTTGAATGTCCTCTTTTATCTGCTTTTTTATAACTTGATTAAATTCCTTAAACTCTACAGTGTCTCTTTTGTTTTGTCTCAGAAAATCTTTTCTTTGTTTTAGCATGTTTTGTGGTTTTACACTTATTTTGGATTTTCGGTTTCTGTTAGCAGTTGCCACTTCTGGGCTTGCATTTAATAGTTCTTTTGTTATGACCTCATTGATTTAATTTAAGCTAAGTTTACCTTATAATACAAAACTTACACTTGTTACACACACACTGCGCACATGTGCAGGCATCATCTGCGAATTCTTCACCATATTCTGCGCCATATTCTTCAGCTAAAATTGGTAAACATGATAATTATATATATTTGTTAAATATAAAATACTTACATTGTTGACAGGGTGCTGCAGGTGAACAAGCGCAATTTAAATCATCGTATTGTTCTTCTAAAATAAAAGATAATTATATAATATAAAATAGTTTTTTATTAATATGTATGAAAATTAATAAGTTATAAAGTGCCAGCAAAATAATTATTGTTGCATCTTACAAGTTTCAGTTTGTCATAAACGAATACTATCAACAATATTGTCAACATAAAATATTTAGGTATCTTCTAAAACAGTTATCGAGTACACTGTGTTCCTTCTCGTAGCAATCGATAGGGTTTTTAATTAAGTCTAATGAGACAATGTAGCGCTGACCTGTTGAAACCATACGTTGATGTTCATGCAATCCAATTCAAGACTAAAAAAGTTGGTAATCATCGACCTATAGAGCTCTACATGGACAGTGATTACCTGGCCAACGTCGTTCTCAAAGAAAATGGACTGATCACACGGTCAGCCCAAAGACCATACCTGCTCTAACTTTACAAAAACATAAAATTAGCTTACATATTTGAGATCTATCAAATTCTCTATTTTTAATATAAGATTGATGTTCACTTATTCTAACATTTGAACTAAAAACCTTGAAGCTCTTTAACTCAAAAACAATTGATTTTTAAGTCTTATGGCACTGAGAACTTTTGATCAGCATGACCGAAGCGAAGTCTCTGGCAAAGTTTCAGCCAATTTAACTGAATCCACTTTTACATTATACGTCACCTCAAAAAAATAGATAACTCGAAAATTTTTATTTTTGATGTAAGTTTACCAATAGATGTAAATATATCATCTTTATGTTATGCTACAACCAGACAATTCACAAAGTACCCTTTGAGTCAATATTTAACTTTATAAAACACCATTTGTTTAATACTTCTTCTTCTCTTCTTTGTCAACCATTTTCCATCCACTCCTGAATGTAGGTCTCTCCCAATTGCTTTAATCTTTCTATATCTTGCGAAAATCTAATCCACTGTTTGCCTGCCACTGCTCTTACGTCATCTACCCATCTTTTTTGAGGTCTTCCCATGCTTCTTGTTGTCTCCATTCTAGAATTCTCCGTGTCCACCTGTTTTCATTATATCGGGCTACGTGACCTGCCCAGCGCCATTTCATTTTTGTAATTTCTTCCACAATATCCCTAATCTTCGTTCTACGTCTTATCTCGGTGTTTCTAATCTTGTCTCTTAGTGGTAGGTACAAACTGGTAGTATGCATGTGTTATATACCTTTTTCTTTAAGTTTATAGGAATGGGGGTGTTTTTCAAGATATGTGCTAGTTTGCCGAAAGCGCCCCAAGCGAAGTGCGGCGCGAAATGATGTGGGCGCAAAATGGTGTGGACGCAAAGTTGTGTGGACGCAAAATTGTGTGAGCGCAAAATGATGTGGGCGCAAAATGGTGTGGGCAAAAAATGGTGTGGGCCCAAAATGGTGTAGGTGCAAAATGGTGTGGGCGAAAACAGGTGTGGGCGCAAAATTGTGTGGGCGAAAAATGGTGTGGGCTCAAAATAGTGTGGGCGAAAATGGTGTGGGCAAAAAATGGTGTGGGCGCAAAATGGTGTGGGCAAAAAATGGTGTGGGCGAAAAACGGTGTGGGCGAAAAACGGTGTGGGCGCAAAATGGTGTGGGCGCAAAATGATGTGGGCGCAAAATGGTGTGGGCTAACAATAGTGTGGGCGCAAAATGGTGTGGGCGAAAACAGGTGTGGGCGCAAAATTGTGTGGGCGAAAAATGGTGTGGGCGAAAAATGGTGTGGGCGCAAAATGGTGTGGGCAAAAATGGTGTGGGCCAAAATGGTGTGGGCGAAAAATGGTGTGGGCAAAAAACTGTGTGGGCGCAAAATGGTGTGGGCGAAAACAGGTGTGGGCGCAAAATGTGTGGGCGAAAAATGGTGTGGGTGAAAAATGGTGTGGGCGCAAAATGGTGTGGGCTAAAAATGGTGTGGGCGCAAAATGGTGTGGGCGAAAAATGGTGTGGGCGAAAAACTGTGTGGGCGCAAAATGGTGTGGGCGCAAAATGGTGTGGACGCAAAATGGTGTGGGCTAACAATGGTGTGGGCGAAAACAGGTGTGGGCGAAAAATTGTGTGGGCGAAAAATGGTGTGGGCTCAAAATAATGTGGGCGTAAACTGGTGTGGGCGAAAAATGGTTTGGGCGCAAAATGGTGTGGGCAAAAAATGGTGTGGGCGAAAAACGGTGTGGGCGAAAAATGGTGTGGGCGCAAAATGATGTAAGCGCAAAATGATGTAAGCGCAAAATAACGTAGGCGCAAAATGGTGTGGGCTCAAAATGGTGTGGGCGAAAAATAGTGTGGGCGAAATATGGTATGGGCGCAAAATAATGTGGGCGCAAAATAATGTAACTAATTATTTGTTAACGGGTTTTTACCCATATATTTAGTAGCTACATTCATGTACTCCTAGATACTGATGATGGAATATGGATTCCGAAAACGTCTTGTATAATTAGCCCGTTGGGGTTTTTAAATATATACCTTATAACAGCCACCTGTATATTAACCACTAATCTCCCATACTATGCACCCACTAATCTCCCGTACTATAATCTTAGTGGCTGCGTCGACTTCTCGAGCCGACACGAAGACCCCCGAGAGAGGCAGTTAAAAAGAACAAGCCATCGAATAAACATCTCCGCGCTGACTTTTATTTTTTTGTCAACTTGAATGTTCGAACATCTCAATATAACTTACAATAACAAGTGTTTAATGTGTATTTCGTGTACCTACCCCAAAATTCCCCTTATACCCTTTTATAAAGGTTTTTTAATAATTTTTTTTAATATATGGTATACAGGAACGGAGATTCCTTGGGGATTAATATATTATTATTGGTAGAAAGGAAAACCCTGCACGAGAGGCATACGTAAAACTAAAAGAATCAGCTACCAACTAAACGAAGTATATGAAAATAAGTACGCAACTACAACTCCTACGACCACTTGTTATAGAAAACGACGTCATTGAAGCAGTAAACAAATTTGTATACCTGAGAGCGTTTCTTAACACTAAAAATAATACTACCGCAGAATTTGCACGGCCAACAGATACTATTTTGCGCTCAATCTCCTTAAACTCACAATTATATCGAGAAATACAAAAATAAAACTCTACAAAACAATAATACGGCCACTCCTGACATATGGTCCAGAGACCTGAACTCTTAGTTGATGGATTCGACCGTTCCTTGATGGAAATTCATTTTATGTAACACCAAAACACCGAAAACTTTGTTTTATTGAAGGTAAACTAAATGCACGAACAAATACTTACCATGTCGGGATAGTATTATGAGGTTTTTTCCGTGGTTTTTTCCTCATAATTTACTATGGAATTACTAACAGGAGAATTTTACTGTCATCATGTCATGTGTTTGTCTTTTTAAAGACGAATTACATGCTATGATTTTTTTCTGACGAATATTCTCAAGTTAAAGTTGATTTCATGTAATTGAATGAACTATCTTATAAGTAAAGTCGTCCCAGGAGTGCAACTCAACAATATTGGCAATATCATTTTAAAATCATCTACTTTAAAATGCATAATGAATGTCTGAATTGTCAATATAAAACAGTCAGATAAAATTAAATTATTAGAAGAATTTTTCACTATGTAACAAAAAACAAAATTTGTTTAATTTACTGTTTGTATTTTGAGAACGATTTCCGAAGTGGAAATTGAAACGTCAATAAACGTATTTTTATCTTTAATTGTGGCTTATTCCCAGTTAAATAGTAATTAATAAAATTAGTTGTTTCGTATTTCATCGTATTTTGGACTGATTTCTGGTCTGGTTTCTTTGGTTTTAATATTGTATTAATTTTATAGTTTTTTTATAGTTTTAACGATAACAAAAATAACATAAATTCTTCAGCCACGTTCAGCCAAGCAGCAGCTCAATCTATTGAATAATTGCCTTTCTATATTCGGCATTTCGAGTGTTAAAAGGTCTAAAAAGATTTTTTGCGTAATTTGTCTAAATTTTCGTCACGTCCATGCTCATATCGGTAAATTTGTTGCTTCATATAACTTCATATGTAAAAGTCTAACGGTGCCAGATCTGGAGAGTGAGGTGACATTTTATGGTACCTTTTGTAGTAAAAACAATATCTGGAAAAGTATTGTTTAAAAAATCTAACACTTCCAGTGCATTGTGAGCTGGACAGTCGTCTTGCTGCAACCAAATTTCATCCATAATAATAGGTAATACTCGAACTGTTGGAATGTGATTTTTCAGGAGATCTAGGCATTTTGCGTCATCACAAATCAAATTGCTCACAATGAAAAAGGACCAATTACATAGTCTTCTAAAATACAAGCCCAGACGTTGACTTTTTGATGGTATTATGTTTTGTAAGGAACATTTACGTACCTATTTTTTGTATAGTATCCCATCGTATAACAGATGGATTGTGATGGCTAATTAAAGAAAAAGAGGACTCATCTTTTTCTCAAGACGAGGACTCAAGACTTTTTACATGAAATCCTCGTCACGAATTGTGGGTTCCATCATGTCCTTACAAAACACCATCCTTCGTTCATAATCAGCTGAGAAAAATTCCTGAGTTTTTTGCAATTTGTAGCAATGGTACTTATTTCTGTTTAAACTATTTTGAACAGTTTTAACACTAATACCAGTTTCTCTTGAAATTAGGTTGCTGTACCAGGAACATTGATTTCAGCTAGACTACATACGGCAATTTCACGTTGTTCTCGTTCTTCATTAATTGCATAATCTGCTTAATTTTCATCTTCATCTCTATCCGTGTATTTTCTACTATTCTTGGCACAACCAGTTTTTTTAGAATTTAAAAATAATGTTGTAAATTATAGATTTTGTTGGTACAGGGCCTTCGAATGAAAACGAAAACCTACTGATTATATCGTCGCAAATGCAAAGAGATCGAAAATCTTTAAAGTAAATATGATCTGTTTAACCTACACAAGAAAGTTAAAGAATTGGCAGGACTAAGAAAACAAAATCCCACTCGTGCAATGGTGGATAGACACGGGACTACAATAACACATACAGACGAGAAAGTACAAAGATGGGCAGAATATATCGACAAATTGTTCGATGATGAAAGAGGAGATTTGAAGCACATAAGAGTACGTCAGAAGAAATAGGTCCATATATTACAAAAGAAGAAATATTACACGCATTAAAAACAATGAAGAGTGGGAAAAGCCCTGGACCTGACATGTTTTCTAGAACAATGAGTAGTTAACGTCGATTTTTATTTGTCTCCTAAAAAGAAAAACTAAAGAGAATGCAGCGATTAGCGCACTATTAGCTTGATGTCTCATGCGCTAAAGTTACTACTAAAGTCATCCATAACCGAATATATCACAAACTGGACATATATGTTAAGGACACACAATTTGGTTTTCGCAAAGGCCTTGGAACGTGTGAAGCTCTTTTTTCACTTATTCTTTTTCTTCTTCAAGTGCCCTGTCCATTGCGAACGTAGGCTATTAACATGGCAATTCTGATCTTGTTTGCGGTGCTTCTGAATAGTTCGACCGATGTAAGCCCAAACCACTTCCGCAGATTTTGGATACTTGAAGAAGTAGATATCGTCAGTGAAGTACACAGCCCTACATAATTTCAGTTGTAAAGGCTACCATTTTCCTAACTTGAAATATCAATTTTTTTATTCTGTTTTTTTGCTAATAATACCAGAATTATTACTAATGAAAATATAAACATATATTTGACATTTTTGTTATCAAAACTGAATGCTACTTTGACAAAACTAGAATTCAATCTAATGAGTGTTAAAAAAAGCTCGTATGTAGTGTACTAATTTCATACTATATTCGGTCTCTCTGTGTTAACAGAATAACCTCATTCTGTTTTTTCGGACTAATTATGGGTGCTATATGCAGTTTTCATTACCACATCTGTGTACTGACGAAGTGTGCTTTTTAAGTGGTTAAAACAACTCCTAGCAGGAAAAAATAGGAAAACACGTATCTAAGCATTTTATGCAATAAAATCTAATTAAATTAAGTAAAATACACATTCAGTGATAATTTGTACTTTAGTACAAATTTGCAACCCTTAGAAACTACCGCTTATAAGGTAAATAAGGTTACAACATAATTTTTACTATGTAAAAACTTTAAGAGGTTTAGTTGCTTGTTTATATGTAGGTACTTATATTTATTTTTGTTTTTTCTTACCCTGTTGCTGTTGACAATCTGCGTATGGTGAACATTGACAATCCAACACCTCGTTATTTTCATAGCCTGTGAACAGTATACTTGTTTAATTATAAAAATTACTACATTCTTTAGAATAAAATATAAATATTATCTCTATATACTGGGCTTGAGTCTAGAAGTGAAGTAGAGGACAAGAAGAACCTAAATCCAAATTTTCAAATAAATCCGTCGTGACCAGAACAGTTCTACTCAGTCATTTACTGGAGTAAAACCCAAGGTAACCGTCTGGGTTGTTGCTTTCTATCCAACATTCTAATCGATTTTTCATCATTCATTCAAATGTTTTTAATATACATGACATAAACTATCTTAATAAGTTAAACTAATAAATTCCTATCTCTCCCATCGGACGGTTACGATCAAAATAGGAGAACATCTCTCCACTCCATTCACTCATCTCACCCACAAGCGGGAGTACCCCAATGCTCAATACTTGCTCCAATATTATACACAGTCTACAATAGCGACATCCCCCGCCCACGGCAAGGATCAGAGTCTCTTCTCCTATTCGCTGACGATACAGCCATTCTCACCTCAGGCTCTTGCAGAGAGGGAGGACGACAGTCTGTATTCGAAAAATCGCAAGCTTACCTTGATAGAGTCGTGAGGTGGTGCAACAAATGGAGGGTCACTTTAAACCCCTCCAAAACTCAAGCAATAGTCTTCAGACCTCCTTACAGACGCGACCTCCGGGGCCGGGTGACACTTTTGGGAGAGGACCTTATTCTCAGGAACTCAGTTCTCTACTTGGGAGTTCGTTTTACGAGAACTCTTAACTGGAAGGCTGACGTCCATGAATCCCTTCATAGGATGAGAAGAAGGTTTAATCTCCTGAAAGTGCTAGCCGGAAAACTAGGAGGAACGTCCTCTAATACATTGTTGCACACCTACAAGGCTTTTATCAGACCGATAATCGAATACAAGGCGTGCGTTTACCTCTCTCTGAAGAGCCACGAACTCAACGCTATCACTGCCACCAAGCGTAGCATTCTACGCTTCTGCATGAGAAAAGATTGTCTGTATCCATCAGCCCACATATACGCACTAACTAACATCACGCCAATTAAGGACAGAATCCTAACCCTCAGTAGGAAGTATGTCTTAAGAACCATAGCTGGCTCGAACAACCGAGCAAAACAAACACTAAAGACACCTTGTTCGCATAGAGAGCAAATACTCACCAGGCACCCTGCCAAAAAAGTTCCATTCCCCCAGCTAAACTTCTACACAACGCTGGACCTGAACTTCCTGATGAGTATTTCGATATTCTTGAATCTTTCCCCATCTACTATCGCAGATAAACTGCGCGCCAAAAACGCTGATAAAGAGCCGTTCCTACCGTATGTCTGGTAACCCTGAAGTACCTTACACTGCATGCTAGGCAATTCCAACTTCTTCTTGTGCGTTCTATCGATTCTTATCGGATCACACAAATAACCACCTTCTTCTCCCTCTTTTCCTTAGTAGTTCTCTACTTCTTAGCTTGCGTTTGAAGAGGCGCAAGCCTAAACAAGGTTAAAACTTAAAAGTCATAGTTGATATAAGAGATATTGGTCTTAGGACATTAGCATCATTATCTTTTGGAGTAGGTATTACAAGACACTGTTTCAAAGATGCTTACTTCTTATGTATTCTCATTAGTGTTGCATAAAATAACAGGGAGACTACAAGGTAACATTCCTTGATGCTGAATATGTGACAAGGTAGAAAATACTGATCCTTGATGCTGTGTGAAGACAAGATCGCGATAAAAAATATTTGAAACTTTAGTAGTACATATTAGGTAGTATTTTTAAAAATAAAAATAGAGAAGTACAAATGTTAATATAAATATGAAATTACTACAATAAAATAATAACTTTGAATGATGAGTAGAAGTATAGAAAAATGGGCAAATAGATGAAGATGCATACAGTGAAATTATGGGTATGGATAAAGTGGAAGGAAGCGAGTGGTCTTATGTGTGATAGAAATATATCAATGAAACTAATAGAAAACTGTATAAAACTGCGTAACACTAATATACAGAACTAAATATTAAGAAATTACAAAAAAATAGGAACAACGAGTACATGTGGTGAAAATGAGAATACTTAGATGGATGAGTGGAAAAACAAGAAGGATTAAATTAAGAATGAGTATATTAGAGAAAATAAACATGGAGAAAATCAGAAAAACCCAGAGAGCTATGGAACAACATATGCTGGGTATCTTACTCAAAGACCATAAAACCAATGAAGATATTCGTAATAGAACAAAAGTAAAAGATGCTGTCAAACAGGCAGCCAAACTGCAATGAAAATGGGCTGGACATAACGAAGGTCTTAAGGATGGCCGATGGAATAAAGAAATCTGGAATCCCAAAAGACCACGAGAAAGACCGCAAATACGCTGGAGCGACGATGTTAAAAGAACTGCAGGACCAATGAGGAAACGTCTTACAAATAACAGAAATGAATGGCGAGAATTAGGAGAGTCCTATATTCGGCAATCCAAATAGAGAGAAGGCTTAAAAAAATATTAGAGGAAGTGCAGGGGAGGCACCAAAGGATATTGCAATGATATAGTATAGATGTAGATTGTTTGAGTTTGTTCATTGTCGAGACTTTAAGCATCCAATATGAAGAATTGCTTATTAACACGTTCCTGATATTTGCAGATTAAGATTAAGGAAGACTTGAGGGAGATGCTTAAGCAGCACGTTTCATTAAGATAAAAACCAACCCAAGATAAAAACTTAAGGAGAAATGTAATTAGGAAAACCAACCCCGCATGGAAAAAAAGGCAAGAGAATGATGATGATTGGTGCTTCTGTAAAAACGTACTATTTGTCCGAGAGCATTAGTTTAACCACCTACTACAATTAATCCTGACAGATTAGAATGTTAATTGTGAATAGACTATTGTATGTTAAATTGTGAGCTTTGAAAAATATATGATACATATATTGGTACATATTTATTATACATATAATAGATACATATTGGTTAAGCGAAATTATCATACGTACAAGAAAAGTAAGGTTTGTTTTATTGATGATTGATATTAAGATATGTATAGAAAAAATCGACACCTCGTAAAATCATATGAACGAAAACCAATTAGCAAAGCTCTTTTTAAAAAAAAATTGGCTTTCATTGACACTTCTATCCAAATCGATTGAAATATAAAAAAGTAGACCAGTACATAAAAAAATTCAAAAGTTACGTAAGTTTAAAATTTTTTTTACGTTTGGTAATTCCGTAAACATCAAAAAACCTTTAATATCGATCATGTGTATGTTAAACCATTCTTTTAACTACTCTACCTGATCTTAGTGGTATTGATTACTTTTTAAATTACTTCCAGAATGCTAAAAGTTTAGCAAATAATTACTTTATGTTACCTTGATAATACTGCTCCATTTCTTTCTGAAAAGTTAAGTATTTTTAAATTACACAGCAAATTTTGACGACACTATAAAACTTCTAATTGACAGCTAAGTCACATACATTAAATTGTCACAAATTATTTTGGAACGTCTACTAACGGTCAATTATTAATTCGTCCAATTACGTGATTTACGTAAGATTATTTACAAATTGTGTTAGGTTTTTGGGTCTTTTTTAGATTATCATTAAGACTTTACTAAAGTTATGAGGAGAGTAATGCAAACATAGGCGTGGTCATTTTCTTGCACATAGATTACTCTTTGTAATTTGTATTTAATCCTTTATTTTAACAATAACTATAACTTGAAACAGTTTAAAATAAAACTATTTTTATTTCTTATAAACAAATTTTGATAATACGTCTCAATTATTCTGGCATGTCTAAAATTGTTACTAATAGATTTTTATTCTCTAAAGTGCCTGAAAAACTCCTTTCATCTATCCTAAGGCTTCACAGCTTAATTCAAGCTCTGGCTTTCCTCAGGAAACCTCTTCATTTGTAATTATCTGTAACTATTCTACTGTCAAGGAGATTTCTGGTGTCATCATCCACATCATCCCCCGTTTACCTTCTCGGTCTCCCAATAAGTCTCTTTCCTTGTGTTACTGCATTTACCAGTTTAAGTGTATCTAATTCATCACCTGTTTGTTCTTATTTATAGGACCTAATATTCGTCTGATTACCTCTCTTTCAAAGATCTCTGTACAGTTTTGAATCAATATCTTACTATCGATCTAATTATGGTCGTGTAGATTCGTATCTTATGAACGTCTCGTGATTTAGAAGTACACCATAATTCAACCAAAATAATTATTGCCATAGACATCCAACTGTACTAAAGTTAAGAAGGCTTATAAGTCCATAACAGCATGAAACTGCAGATTCCCTTAGGGTCCAACAAAATAACATTGCTCTGGGTACCAGTAAATAAAGTAATTGTAGGTACCTAGTGAGATTGCTTACATTTTTGCTAAAGAAGCAGCTAATATTGATTTTATGGACTAGAGCTTACTCTGTTTTCCTTGAAACCAATTTTATTTCCCACTATATCTATATCATAAAACTAGCATAATGCGAGGACCTTCATTTGTAAAGAGAAAAATTTCTGTGCTTATTTTTTCTACGGTCCTTTCCAAAATAATGTTAAACAACAAGGATAAAGCATCACTTTGTTTGAGGCCAATGTTTATTGTAAAGAAGGTAGACAGTTCTCGTTTAAGCCTTACTGCAGTTCTAGATGTTATCATATCATATTATATATATAGAGAGCTGGCGCAGTATTTTATTGTATTCCCAATATGTCTGCATTAACTGCCTAATAGTGAAACATCATGCAGGGCAAAATTAAGGGCAAAAGAAGTGTGGGAAGAAGAAAAATATCGTGGCTTCGTAATCTACGTGAATGATTCGGGTGTAGTTCGATTTTTAGGCGCGCTGCTAACAAAGTCGCAGTGGCCTGATGATTTCCAATCTCCGCTAGGAGTGGCACGAGAAGAAGAAGAAGTGAATATTTGATCCACTGTTGATTTTTTTTCCTAAACCCACACTGATAGTGTTCTATTTGATATTGCACACATTGACTCAATATTTCCAATAGTATTAGGGAACTTACTTTCTTTCCTGTATTAATACATGATATACTTCCTTAGTCCAAGAACATGATAATAACTGCGACACGATTTACCATAAAGATATACATCTTGTAAATCTCCTAGTAATGAAAGGATTAACCAAATAGATCATATAATCATCGATGCAAGACACTGCTCTAATTTATTAGATGTTAAGTCTTTTAGAGCAGCAAACATAGATAGTGATCACTATAAAAAAGTAGATTGGGAAAAGGAGAGAAAAAGATCCACATTAATAAACTCAAAGATTTTTAAAATGTATAAAAACCGACATTTCAAATGTATACAGACAGCAAATAGAAGATCAAGTAAGGACAGAAAACTTAGAAGAAGAAGACATTAACCAACTATGGGCAAATATACGAGATAAGACAATTAAGCTCCAGGAATCAATGAAATCTATTCGGAAATGTACAAAAAAGGTGGTGATCAACTATTTGCAACAATCAATAAAGTTATGGTACTTATATGGCAGAATGAATTGGTACCAAAAGTGTGGCTAAAGGAAGTAATATGTCCGTTGCATAAAAAAGGTGATCAACTGGAGTGTAAGAACTTCTTCTTCTTTAAGTTCCATCTTCTATCGAAGGTTGGAAATCATCATGGCTATGCGGACTCTGTTGACTGCCGCTCTAGAAAGTTCTGCACTACTGCATTCAAACCATTCCCTTAAGTTCTTAAGCCAGGATATTCTTCGTCTTCCACATTTCGCTTTTCCTCGGATTTGCCCTGCATAATAAGTTGTAATATGCGTATTTTTGCCCTCTCATCACATGTCCCAAGTACTCAAGTTTTCGTCTTTTAATAGTTAATATTATTTCCGCCTCATTTCCTATCCTTCTAGTTACTTCCATGTTTGACAACTAATGTTGTATAGTGTAAGAACTATAAAGTCATTACTCTGTATTGTTTGAAAGACTTAAACATTTTACAAAGGATATTGTTGGTCAGTATCAATGCGGATTTACTGCTGCAAAATCAACTATACATTAAATTCAAGCACTTAGGCAGATTCTAGAAAAGTCACTAGAATTAACATAGATATACATCATCTCTTCGTCGACTTCAAAGTTGCCTTTGACAGTGTAAAAAGAACTGCGTTATATAATGCAATGATAGACTTTGAGATACCAGAACCAAGTTAGTTAAGTTGATCCAACTAACAATGCAAAAAGTTATGTCATACGTTAGAATTGAAGGAGAAAACTCTACGATATTTGATATTAATAATGGTCTAAGACGTGGAGACGCGCTGGCGTGTCTTATCTTTAATATTGCTTTGGAAAAAGCAATCAGAAAATTAAATATTAGAATGAATAGAACTATTTTTAATAAATCGACGCAAATTATAAGGGACATGGTGCAATGTTTTACAAGACTTGTGGACGTGGCAAGTGAATTAGGAATTGTAATAAACGAGGAAAAAACCAAATATATATTGGTTTCTAAAAACCCCCAAAATATCCAACAGAGAATTCAAACAACATTCAAGCCACAAACACGACAAGCGACGAAATAAAAAGACGCATAGCAAGAGTAAACAGAACTGTTCACGGTTTCCAGAAATATTTTAAAAATAAAAATATAAAACGTGCAATTAAGCTCAATATATACAAGACCTTAATAAGACCGTTTTTGATATATGGGACTGAAACGTTGACCTTATCTCAAAATGGTGAAATACTTCTTGGTATTTTTGAAAGAAAAAATCTTAAAAAGATTTTTGGGGCTGTAAATGAAAACGGGCTATGACGTCGAAAATACAACTTTGAACTATAACAGTTACAACACTGATCCAGATATTGTGAAATTCGTTAAAGTGCAGAGACTTAGATGGGCTAGACACATTTCTAGGATGGTAGATCAAGAATACACGAAGAGATTTTCAAAACTAGAGGACACAAGAAGTAGAGGACGATCAGGAGATGGATTGATGATGTGTAAGAAGACCTTCAGATTCTAAGGGTCAGAAGATGAGGGGAAGTTGCCAGGAATCGACAGGAGTGGTGACTTCTTTGTAAGCAGGCCAAAATCTACAAAAGATTATCGAGTCACTTATGATGATACTTCGTAGTTTATGCGCTCTTCTTCATCTTTAAGCTCTATCTCCACGAGGTAGGTAGGCAATCATCATAAATATTAGGACTTTGGAGGTATGTAATATGAAGTTCATATTTGATGCATATCCGTACCATTTTCTAAGGTTGCGCAGCCATATTTTACGCCTCTCAATGCTTCTCTACTTTGGATCTTTCTCTGGATAATCAGTTGGATCAAGGTGTATCTCTATTCACATGTAATGTATAAAAAAGATCCCAATTTTCTTTTTTTATTTGTATTTAAAGTGTGAACCCTTTACGCCACCAATAAAAACGAAGGACGTAATAATGGATCAAATAATGACGAACCTCTTACAGTATGGACTATACAACACAGAATAGATGAGAAAATTAAAGACACACAAAACTAAAAAAAAAAGTTAAAATTAAAACTAAACTTGAAATATTAAATATTTTATTAGAATTATTTCCAAGAATATTAATTTCTATTTCGATTTAATTGATTTACTTCCACAACTATCACAGATTTTTTATCACAGTCTTCGTCAATACCAATATTTCAGTTAATTTGATTACTATCTGAAAACATTAATATCATCTGCAAGCACAAATAAAGCTCTGCGTTTATTTGACTTTCATATCTCTTCTAGCAGCACTGAAAAATAAAAATAAATTAGAAGATAGCACATTCATATTATTAGAGATGACAAAGAAGCAAAACATAAATAACTAATTAATATTGACGTTTTGTGACATCCATTTTCATTTTTTATAGTATATTTAGAATGGTAGCGAAATATTCATGAAAATAACTTCTTGAGCATTTATTTAGTCACAAAATTCCAAAAAATAGATGTATTTACAAAACATAGTAAAGCAAAAAAATGTCATTAATATGTAGGCCTCAAAATAAAGAATTATTTTTCAGTTATATTTAATAATCATAACAAGTACTTACCGGACTGTATGGACAAAAGCCACAAGGAGGACATGGAGAACAAGGTGTACATGGACCACAACTGCACGGATCACAAGGTGGACATCGAGACGGAACTGGGTACAATAACGGTACGTAAATACTGGGACAGGGAGGGATATTTGGAAAGTAAAGGGGCATTCTACAACAGGGATCTGATAATCGACCCATTTTAGCTAAATATTTTTACGCACAAAAATTTTGAATGTTTGAGAAATTATTATTAGTTGATAATTATCTCGTTGCTACAGAAACACCAATTAAAAGTACTAGATTCTAAATGAAATTTTTATAAAAAATGACGTTTTAGATAAATTACTGTTCAAATTTCTGTCCTTCATCTTCACCCTTTTACATTCATATACAGTTTTAACGGATTAATATTTTACTGAAACAGTAGTAAATTAGTTGAAAAATGAGTTGCCGCCCTACTTGTTGTTCTCCTTGCTCGGTTATGGTTTGTTATCCATTCTGTTATCCATGCTGTCAGCCATGTTGTCAACCATCGTGCCCACCTAAAGTAAGTATCGGATACTTTTCTTCTAATATAATAATACAGTAAAAATCGAATGCTATAAGTGGATAAGCTAGTCTATTATCAAATGTTCTTTTTAGGCACCTTTAAGATATTTAAAGCTAAACTCTTAAATCCTTTATATGTAAAATCGTAAACACCAGCATATTAACATCTCAAAGTTATTATCTGGTCATTTATCATAAGCAGTATATACAAATTCAGACAGGAACCGATGTCATTGCGTGCCTTGGGTGCGTTTATTACGGAGACAATCGCATCGTATCCTCAACCTAGAGCACAGAACTGACAGTGAACACTCGCATTTAAAATAATGCATTTATTTTACCTATAATCGATAATATGATACCACTGTATGGTCCGACCGAGGGTCGGCGCCTCGTTATGAACTCACACTTAGTCTGTGGAAAAATGATAACGTCCATGCGAATCGTTCAGCTTTTTATCTTCCATACAACTTACCAATAACCAATTGACTTGGAAATGCACATATCGATACAAAAGAAAAGTATATAAAAAGGTGCATTTTCCAAGCCAAGGTGGTCTAATCTTGCTGGGGCTTCCATGTAAGTTCTCCTATACCCTGGGACTCCCCTTCACGGGGCTATGCTTCCCATTCGCCCTTAGAATCTTTGCTGGAACCTGTCTACTACCAAACTGCGTTTTATTGTAAGAAATTACTTAATCCACCAGACTGAAACGGAAACGTAGAAGAAACTTCGATTGGGCTGGTTGAAACCCTCTGCAGAGTACATAGGAAGCAGATATAGGTTAATTTTTGCCAAGACCAACCAAAAGGGAGCTTTGTGACCCAAGCTCACTTCGACGAGCTACGCTGAGTATCTTCCAGAACGAAATTGGTTCCACGAGACCAATATCAATCCACGCTGGCAGCTAACCTAGACCGTAGACCGTCATGATAATCTGCAGTTTCTGACGTTCTCCAGTGCCGACTGTTTCGGTGAAAGAGAAGTTCCCATAGTCACGAAGCCTAGAAGTAACTGACGTCCCGGAGCAGCTTTGGAGTCACGTCTTGCCCTACCGTATGTGGTTGAATATCCACGTAGTCCCAAGAGTACCCCTCGGCGATAATAAAACCCGGCTATCAAACAACTATGGGTTCGATCTGGCGGAAAGGAGGAAGAATTCGCCAAGTAAAAAGCACTTCGACCGAGGATTGTACGGGCAGAAGAAGATGACAACTACTACCAGGAGGCTGTGCTGTGGTGTGGTGACCTTTACAAACCTTCTCTAGGACAATTGTGAATATATAAATATGGTATGAACATTATTTTAACCTTTTATAATCATTTTAATGATATTTCGAATTTTATGAGCATTTTCAAGTTTTATAAATAATTTTTAAACACATTTAATTTTTTCTCTTTTCGTGTAAACATTTTTATAACATTGTAAGGACGTTTTTCGAATTTTTTCTAAACCTTTTTTAAAATACTGTAGGGACATTTTCGAATGACCAGTGTGAGATTTGTAAACATTTTTATATACATATTGTAAACCTTTTATGTCCTTAATGCCGATGATAGGATTCCAAAACAGATTTTAACGTGGACACCACAAAGGTGAAGGAAAAGAGGAAGGCCGAGAAGAAGCTGAAGAGAGGGAATTGAAAAAGAACTAGAGAAAAGAGAAATCCCTCCAGGCCTATGGTTGAATAGAGAAGAATGGCGGTTAGGAGTTGGAAGGTGTTGGAGAACGCTGTAAACCGATAGTAGTAGTAGTAAACCTGTTATGAATTTTTGTGAATATTTATGTACAATTTGAATCTTTAATATGTAACTTTCACCACTTTTGCAAGTCTTTATAATTTATTTGTGTACTAAATAAATTTTTTTCTCCAGCAAACGAATCTTCAAAGGGGTAGTCGCGTGCTTTAGTCTGTAGTCTGTGGATAAGCACGTGGATGAGCATCGTACCGCCTTTTATCTATACAATTTATGATTGACCAATTGACTTGAAAATGCACATATCGGTACCAAAGAAAAATGTATAAAAAAGGTGCATTTTTGTATGTAGGTTTTCCTATACACTGAAATTACCTAACCCAAGAAAACTTCGATATTAAAGAAACAGGGCACGCCTCTTTGGTGTTTACATTTCACCGAAACCCAACGCAAATGTCTGATGAACTCATTTGGCTTCATAGACGTCATTGTATTTATTTGTAGGAGCGTTTGCGTAAAAATTTTTGTTATTTTCAGATTAAATTTTACAATAAATTTTGCGTCTATTTGAACATCTATTAAGTGAAATAATTTTAGTTTAGATGCCATACTCACAGTAGATCCTTTTTATTGGAATAATAGTTAGACCAATAATTTACTTTCATATTTCTACTTGCACAGTAAAATATTTATTGTGGCAATAATCCAAAACAGTCGTAAACTCGTGGAATAACCTATTTCCCATTTTTCACTAAACTACACTACATATTTTCGAAACAAGTCTTTTACAAACGAAAACCAAATTAACATTTTGATTTATTTTAGGAAGTCCAAGATCGAAACAAACTGGTGGCACCTCCTACTGAACCCAGACCTCCTATAAAATGTAAACGAATTCAACCTTGCTATTATTCGAAACCTACAGATATACGATCTAAGACCATAAAATTTGATGAAAAGATGCAAATTACAACCAACTACTGCAAAGATTAATTTAATAAAATCAAAAAATGTTGAGAAAAAAATGTTTTTAATAATTGGATATAGAACAGGTACTTCTGATTCAAGAACATAGACTAGGAAAATATGTACAAATAGTATTTGTATAAATAACACGATTCCTTCACCAGCTGGAGACTGGAATTTCTATATCATTATAAAATCTCTACACACTTAAATACACATTAAAAATAAATTAATAAAACATTCCCAATAATACAATTTTATTTTGCAAAATTTTTGAAAACCATGAACATCATTTATTGTCCAAAATTTAAGTCATTTATAAGTCTATTTCTAAGGCCACACATTATCTTCAATCCATTTAATAAAATAGGATACGCTAGTAAAAACTTGTGGGTCTTTGGTCCAGCCACAGCCAAATCCGAATGCTGAGATTCCTACTACATCGTACATGCAATTTGTGTTGCTGCTATCCTTGCGATAAACCTGCAAGGGGCTTCCAGAATCACCCTAAAATATAAAGAAAAATGTAACAAATATATACACATACCTTACAATACAGTAACATTTCCCAATATTTTGTTTTTTTTTTGTTTCCTATTACCACTGAGTTTTACAATGTTGGGACCTGCGTGTGAACTGAACCTTCTTGTAGTCAGAGATCTTTGCAGTCGGAAAATAAGTATATGTTTAATAATGACGGTTGCGTACTGCCACCAGCATTATTAAACACATACTCTGTAAACATTTTTAGAGAAGCCTTGGATAAAGCAGAGGTAGAAAGATTGGCGAAGCAAACTGGCGGTTGGCAATGGATAGGACTGCCTGGCGTAATAAACTTGGGAAGGTCGAGGCTCTTTCATAAGGCTGTAGCACCATTGATGATGATGATGGATAAATCAGAACATTGTATCGCAGCAAATGGCCAACTTATAAACAATATTAGATATGCAGATGATACCGCATTGCTGGCAGATAGCGCGCAAGGGCTCTAAAGATAAGGGCTGATGGATAATGTTGTAGAAACACTTTACAAATAAGGCCTACAAATAATTGCAAGAAGACAAAATTAATAATAATTAGTAAGAACACCAAAATAAACGACAAATTATAATAAACAATACTGTTAGAAACAACCGTTAGAAATTTTGGAGAAATAATGCTATCTACACTAAGGATACATGGGATCATAGCTACAAAATAAAAAGTTGTATTGAAAAAGCCAGAGGCTATTTTAATGTTCTTAGAAAGATTATCTGCAACTTATTTTTAAGTATCAATATAAGCATAAGAATTCTTAGATGATACGTCTTTAGTGCCCTCCTCTGGGAAGTAGAAGGCTGAAGTCTTACAGAAGTTGCCATAATATGGTTAGAAATTTACTTGATAAAAATCCTCACTTAGTAAGTATATAAAAAAAGTAATTCATCTTATGTCAGAGATACCTATTCGCTGTGAGCTTCGCCGGTAGCGCTATCTCGCGGTTTGAAACTTGTACTTTTTTTGTAAAATCGGTGCAAGTGAAATATGACAAAATGAGAAAAATAGATATTTATCTAAAAATATAAAATTATGAACTAAAATATTATTGTAAACTGATTACTGAACGAATATACAGAATTAATAGTAAAAGTAATTACGCCTTTTTATTTTATTCATTATAATTTTAATATTTAAGATATACGTTCCTGCGACTGGATGACTACTTACGTAAGAGGCCATGGAGAAAAAGAAAAAGTTTATGTGAAAATATTTAATGGTTAAAGGTTACCTTTACCTCTCGTAACCATGATACTATGACCACAGAATAATAAACAATCAGAAGGGCCACTCTCAGATGCCGCCTTTGAAGTTTTTCAGCACGCGCGCCATGTTTTAGGAGGACACAGACATATGATTTGTGTGGTTATGTAATTGTTTATATTTATGTTTAATTATATTATATTTATGTTATTATATTTAACAATGTTAATATAATTGTATAGTATGTCAATGATTGCCGTAAGTCAAATAAACCTGGTTAATTTTTCCATGCACACCACATAAACAACACTCTAAAACATGGCGGAACGTCTGCGCGGAGGAGATGCGCGTACTTAATTTTCCGTGGAGAGTGGGTATTCTGTTTGTTTATTATTCTGTGCTATGACTAGGAAGATAAGATAACACATAAGTCGTGACGTCATTGGAGAGTTGCACGTTCGAAATGTCAGTTTTTTGTGTGTATCAATAAATAATCTTTAATAAATAGTTTGGAGATATCCTTATGTGTACGAATATTGTAATTATTAAACCTCTTAACTTATCTTCGTCTAGTAATTTCATCACAGAATGCATACAAATCCCATTAAACTTTGACAAGAATTCAAATTCTACTCTCCAATGACGGCATGCGTGAACACGACCGATTTTGTGCTACGGGAAGATCCTATCTTGTTAGTGATAGTATCATGCTTGTAACGTTGTAATTCTTGTTTTCATTTTGCATTTTTATTTTGTTTTTGCTGTTATTTTTTGTGTGCTTAGGCCTTAGTGATTAGATATCAATCTATTTTCATTTTATCAAAATGGATATTAAACACTATACTGGTTTTAAGTCTATATCACATGATATCCCATTTAACCAGCTACACCAAAAATCTTATTGATAGCAATAATCCATTTTTCTCTTTGAACTACATATTTTATGCTTGGCAACAGGAAATGAATAAAATTTACAATCACTTATACCCAGTATTTTTACATGTATCAATACAACAGCTGCTATATCTTTTTCTTTTTGAAAAATCCATATTCGCCATTATTTGAATGTTTACAAGTTAAATGCACAAAACTGCCACTAACAGCGTTGGTGAAAACTGTCAAATCCCCTCTACTCATCGGCTCACAGCGAATAGATAGATCACATATATGTACCTGACAATCGTCAATATTGTTTCTTGCAACACAGATCATCTCATTTTTGTGTAAACCCTGTGGTACTCCAGGCAGCAGATGATAATAAGTGCTGTTACATTTCGCAAAATTATCATCAAAGTGATTAAAAACTTTTAACATGTGTGTTTGTCGCTTTCCACTTCTGTCAGTTGCACCCCAGCCTGCAAAACAGGAAAAGTAAAATAAAATAAAAAAATTCACAAAAAACTTTAATTTCGCGTGAGATTTGGAACAGTTTCACAAATATTTAGCTATAAATTTCAAGGACTTTCACATAGTAGTTTTTGTAAACGTGAAAATTGTTTAAAATCCCAGCGAGCTTTTATCTACAACATAACAAAATTTCCATAACATCAGTATTAGAATTTAAATTACCTTAACACAGCTAATAATACGACACCCATACAGGAATGCTCGATCTTTCATAGGCGTCAACATGGTATAATAAGACGAAAACTGTAATCGTGCTTATATTAAGTATTTTAGAATTATATTGATTAAATAATCAAAAACATTTTTTAATATTAATACTATAAATGTTATGTTTAATTCTCCATAAAATAATAATTTTAATTAAATAGATAATACCACCGTGCGCCAATGATATGGGAATACTTCAAACTTGAATGACGGTTCGGCATTTGGCAAAATTGTTGACAGGGTTGCCGCCTTTTTAAAGTACGAATTTTGTTTATATGGTTTGATTTTGCTCGATTAAAAACATTACATAGAACAATCACCACCCCGTTTGATTTAATTGAATCGTTTGGGCATATATCCTAATTATTACAAAAGAATAATCTTCCATTATCAATCTATACTTCGAATCTAGCTCAATATCTGGATATTATTGAATTACAAGCCTATTAACTAGACACAAGAATTGTCTTGAATATTTCTTTAACTAATGCAGAACAATATACTTTATATGGTCTCGACCCATTGTCATACTTTACAGTAAATAGTCTTGAGTCATGCTAAACCTTGCGAGCTGAAACCAAAATTTGTTTGTACGAATGCCAGGCTTCCGTAGTATTCGTCAAAGAGTACAACGTCCACAAGATCAACATGAACCTGTGACTCACAACAGTTTCTGACCCCCTGCCTATTACAATCGAATGCTAGTCTAGAGACGTCAAATCGGAGATCATCCACACCAACCATGTACTGAAACTACAACCCACGTGCGATGCCTTTGTTGCTAGTACAAGAGTTCACTCTTAGAAATTGATCGACGTCAATGATAATGTTACTTACAGAGATCACCCAGTCCAAATACCATTCAACTGCTGCAAACACTTCCTAGATAGGATCCATCTTCCCGACTTATAACCACTGAAGCTTAGCAAGATCAATACTGAAGACCTCGAGATAGCCGATCAAAAAATCAATCAGTATTCTGAAAAACTTGACAAACTAATTAATGAACCATTCGTCAACAAACACCTGAGCTGGTTTACGAATTTAACAATAGTCGTTATTGTGACTTTTGTTGTTTTTTTAAGTCATATGTAAATGCAGATTCAAGTGAAGCTACAAGATAGTAATTGGTAATACCAATAGCAATGACCATCCGCCCTCTCCACCAAGACACCCAGAGACACCAAGATACTTTCAAAACGAAGACTCAGTATCCACCTAAGCGAAGAAGAGTAGATCCAACTGAATACCAACAAACAGACAATCTAAAAGTTGCTGCCACGCATCAACTTTAATCTAAAGGTTGTTATATGCATTGTACCAACCAACCAATTTTACTTATAACGAGGATTCCCATGGTATCATGTTTCAACTTTTAACTAGCAGAGCCGATAAGGATCCCTGTTCCATAAGAGTAATTTTGTTCGACATCCTCCAATGAACAAAATGATTCTAAATGGTAGTAAAATAAACCTCATTTTATTTCTATATGCTTAAAAAATCATTGTAAACAATTTTTAAATAAAAAAATATTCTTTACAATAATCTAACATTCAGAATTTTGACTTACCCGAGTGAATAACATTTCCACCTGGGAGCTTGTCGCTGGTGTATAGGCATACTGGACTTACAAACTTATTAAATTTAAAATCTTCCTTGACTTTAATAAGTGCAATATCGTTGTATCTCAGGATTGGCGGATTGTACTGAGGATGAACTATTATTGATTCAATGTTTCTTAATTGTTCATTCGCCAGATCGTTGTGATCTGTTACTCCAGCTCTAATTATTACTGGTGCTGCACCTTTTCTAGAAAATATTTAAAAAAATATGCATATTTTTTTAAACAATTACCTTACGTATTGATATTAAAATTAATATATAAAATCAATATATAGAAATAAAATTATATATATATATATATATATATATATATATATATATATATATATATATATATATATATATACATATCATCACTGCAGTGATGAAGTTTTAGTAGACATTCGTTGGACTTTTCCAGTTTGAATTTGTATCAGCCCAAGTGTCTGATGAGGCTGGGATAGGCCGAAATGATTCATACCACTTTATTGATACCGATTCGAGTACGGGAAGTTTAACGAGTTTGTTCCATATTTTTCCAGGCCATATTATGTGGCCATTTAATTCAACAAAGCTATAGCAGCTTTCAATCTCGAGCTTCGATATTTTAAAATAAAAAATATCACATTTTGAATTTTCCATGTATTTGTTACATTTTTTCGGGCATCTATCAATGGTGAATAAATCTTCTTCTTTTTTGTTACTAAACAAAGAAGAATTTTTTAAACAAAATTTTATTTTTGACAATATGTCAAAAATAAAAATTTTTAAGTTAGTATTTATGACATTTAGGCTGGTTGTAGCTATTCTATTGTTGTTTACAAATTCAAATTTTTTTTCTTAAGAAACTTCATCAAAATTTTTCAGAGAAACATTTATTAGAATAAGACATTTTTTTTTATTAATATTTTTTGTATTTAATATGTTAAGCAGTAGTTTTATATAAAAAACTAATTTTATTTGGTGAGTTAACACAAAATTTTTTATTTCTAGTTCAACTTTGTAAGATATTTTGTATTTTTTAGAAGCTCTTGATAAAAATTGTAATCACAATTGAAAGCTCGAGTAAAAAATAGTCAACAAATAGCCCCTTTTATTGACTCCAACCCATCAAAAACAGTGTTATATTTTCCAAACGAGTCACAAGTACTTCTTTTTTCTTACTCTTATATATATAATATATATATATATATATATATATATATATATATATATATTATTTGAAAGATATTTAGTACATATGAGTTTTAAATATATATACTTACAATTCTTGAGGTTTAGGAACATATGCTATAGTCAGAACGAAATTTTTACTAATTACAAAACCACTAGCTAACCACATATATCCATTATTATGGCTATAACCAATTTCTACCTAAAATTTACAAATAAGATTAAGATTTGATGATATAGATATATAAAAAGTAGGTAAATATATAAAACCAAATGTTAGTAATACCAATAAAACAAGGAAAAATGAGTATTTTCAATAATTACATGAGTTTATAAATGATCACTTTTGGGAAGTAAACAGTATATTTATGATTAAAATGAATGAATGATTTAAAAATGATTAAAAAGAAAGTAGAGGAGAAAAACAATGTGCAAGAAAACTAACTCAAAACAAATATATTTACCATATGAGGAAATTCGCCCTTTCCCGCTAAACTTCTTGGAGAGTTCGAAGGAGTAGAAAGCGAAGCAGGACAAATATTATTCTTTTTGGCATTTTCTGTATATCTTTTACACACTAAAACGTAACAAAGTCTATTATCATCAATATCGTGGTTATAAATTTTGCAAACTTACTTTCATTGGCGGTAGACCCTGGAGATCGACCTAAAATAAACAAAACTTTTATGTTTGACATATATATTGACAGTTTCGATATGTGAGCAATACAAGTTGTAGTATGTAGGAAAAAAATAACATTAGGAATGGAAAAACTGCATCTACAAAATACCCTGTGATTGCAACCATTTCTACGTGGAAGAAACCGCAAGATCACCAAGTTTCACAAGTTTCAGGATAAATGGGCATGAAACATACATCAAGATCACAGACTTCGATAAATGCCAGATATGCAAACATGCCTGGAACAACGAGGGCAGACCACAATGAAAAGATGACTCAATAATAATAAAAGAAACAACATGAAAAAGAGAAAAGTCAAAGAAGCAGCTCTTATCCTACTCAATGAAGAAAAATGTATAGCAAACCCTTCATCAGAATGTAGCAGGCTTTGGTTGCCAATGCTATAAGAAGAAATTAATAATAAGAATATAACAACAATAGCGAAATAATAGGTGGTCGGAAAACATCATCTACAATCCTACACAAAACATACATGCAACCTTCAATACACATAAACACTAAATCTATTTCGCTCAATTTACACTCAACCACAATTACGATACAGATTTTTACAGAAAGATACACAAACAGTCAGATATTGATATTCCTAGGGTAAAAACATCACTGTCAGATTTTGTACAGCCATTGTATGCTGTTTGCCTACAATATTGGGGTCTAGCATGTCAATTTTAAAATGACACGACATAACCAATAACAAAAACTTTGGTTATACATTTTTCAGAATCTGTATATTAATCTTTTTTGAGAACGATTTCCAGAACTTTCTTTGCTATTCGAACTTAAGGTTACAAGGTTAGAGCTACGCCTAAGGATGCTTCGATCTCACCTGTCCTCTACTCTGATTTATGGCTTGAAAGCGTGGACACTAAAACAAAAGCATATAAACAAGTTAACCGTCTTTGAATTTGGGTGTTACAGAAGAAACCTACGAATTATATCGACTTAAAGAATGGCAAACGCGAAAGTAACTAAAAGGATAGTCAAAAGAAGAAAACTTGAGTATTTAGAACATGTAATGGTATTATTGAAGGAGATCTTACAAAAATCACAATAAAGAAAAATATAAAGAAACTCAAAAAATCATCCGAAATAAAATCAAGAAAGCCAAAGAAGAATAGATGAGCAGCAACTGTGAGGAACTGTGAAATTTACTAAAAAAGCATGACTACTTTAATGCATACAAAAAGATTAAGGAAGTCACAAATAATATAAAGAAAAAAATCACTACAACTTTAGTCGATGATAATAACCAAATACTATCTAGTCCAGAAAATGTAGGAGATATGTGGGAAAAATAAATCAAAGATCTGTTTGATGACGAGCAAACAGAACGACAAATGAATATAGTACAAGAAACAATACTTGAAATATTAACATCGGAAGTTACAAAAACAATCAATACGGCAAAGCCACAAAAAGCCTCAGGTTAAGATGAAGATAAAGCTTATCAATGAAGAAAATCTTCAGACGTTAACACTATTAACAAAATACAGTGATGAGTGCTTTACCACCCGGCTTTTTAACGTAAGAGATAGAAAACACAGTTACCTTGTGAAATAAAAAGAGATGAAACTCGTAGAGGTGGGAAATAATCGATAGAAACCTATAATTTACATTACATTGCATTAACACTATCGATAGTCTCACACCTTTTGTAGCATTTTCAATTTCATTGATTCTTTCAAGGATATTGAAGTCCCCTCGTATACGAAATATTAAAATCACCTTATATATTTTTGATAGACCTAAAAATATTCGTACGTATTTAAACCCAAATATCTTTTCATTTCTTTCTTAGGTCGGCAAGTTGAAATAAACCATTTTAGAGTTGTTTATTTATTTTACTTCGGCAAATTCTTTCAAGTTTATGCGTCGCAAAAGGATATGTACGTCGTTTCGTGGTGTCTTGTTATGTCAGCGTTTGTATGTATGCGTTCAATTTTAATAGAATTTCTTCACTCTCGTTGGAGCATCTTTCAAGAGTGGTTCAGCGTTATGTCCAAATTCACGTCGAATTTGTAAAGTGTTCTGTTTTCGTCTTTTGTTATGAAGAATATGTAGCAGTTTGTTATTGGTTTTGTGGCAGTAAATGCTTCAATTATTAATGTTTTGATTGAGGATTGGAGGACATCCTCGTTTTATTTTTTATTTTTGTTCCTGCTTTTATCCAAGGCTTTTGGCAGTTTGGAGATGGAGGTTTTCGTGATGCAGAGAGAGTGGAGCCCTCAGTTCCAGGTTCCAGTTATGGTTTCAGAAACTTAAGTGTGATCATGTGAATTAAGGTAACATTTTGTTCAAATTTTAAACTAAAGACAGACATTTTTTTATAAAATAATAATTGCTTTCGTTGACATTTAAAATTGTAAATTTTATGTTTTGAGTAAAGCTGTCAATTTATGTTTAGTTTTTTTTGAAATTTAATGTTAATTTATGACAGCTCGTTTTAGTATTTTTGATGTTGATTTGTTTTGTTTTGTTTTAAAAGGTTAACCTCCATGCAATTTTGTAACAATGGAGTTTGTTAATGGATGACACATGTAAGTTTTTGTATTTTGTATTTCTCCATTTTGTAACTGTTTGTGGTGACACATAAATAAAGGTTAAATTTTGTTGTCTTAACTTTTTGTTTATTTTTTTGAGCCAAACCTTTTTTGATTTTAATTGAAAAAGATATGTTTTTTATGTTTTGATTTTATTTTCTAATTATTTCCCTAGTTACAACTAGTGGTTGTAATAGGCATAATTAGGCACCTTAAGTGGCGCCCTATATTAAATTCCTTGAGGTGTTTCTTGTTTATTTTTATTGTGTTTGTTCCAAGAGATTAATGACCCCTTTATTTCACTTTCTTGTAGTTGCCCCATTCTAACCCCTTTATCTTTTACTTATCCACGACCCCAGCTCTCCTACGAAACCCTGAGTGCCGTTCGCATCAGTAGCGATTATTTTGCTTGCCCTATCTCCACCCCCAATAGTTTTTCCCCCAATTTTCTATCTCCCGTATTAATGCCCCCTGTGGTAGGCAAAATATTATCGTTACACTTTAGACGTTAGCTTTGAGCTAAATCACCTCGGTCATAATGTATATACCACTGGAATCTTCCCAGAAGACTGGCTTGGATCGACATTTATACCTATACTCAAGAAAAATAAAGCAAATAGACGCTCAGTTGAGATTAATTAGCCTGATGAGCCATTTTTTGAAAATTTTAATCAAAATTGTACATCAACCAATATTCAGAGATTGCGAAAAAAACCTGAGCGACAATCAATTTGGATTTCGTATGGGGCTTTGTACAAGGGAGGCATTATTTGGCCTCTAGATATTACTACAAAAATGCCGAGATCAGCGAAAAGACGTGATTCTCTGTTTTATCGACTACGATAAACCATAAACTTTGTGCGAACCAGTACAAAGATTTCAGTATCTTGGTTGCTGGATAACAAACGATGTTGACCACGAGGTCAAAATACGTACTCGTATAGAATATGCTAGGTCCTCATTTCAACGAATGAAACAAATCCTAATCGAGTTATAAGTTATCTAGGACATATTTACAGAGGAGAAAAATACAACTTCCTACGACTTTTAATGGAAGGGAAAGTGGAAGGAAGAAGAGGTCCAGGAAGAAGAAAATGCTCCTGGTTGAAGAATGTAAGAGACTGGACAGGAATGGATACACATTCGATGCTAAGAACAGCTCAAGATAGAGGGCAATTTGCTGTAGTTACAGCCAACCTTCAGTAATGGAGAAGGCACCTTAAGAAGAAGAAGATGGTATTAGAGAAGTAAATAATAGCCACAGTAGACCACGAATAAAATGGAGAGATTAAGTCATGGGCAATGTCAAAAAACTGGGAATTAGTGACTGGAGTTTGCTAGCAAATATCAAAAAAAAACGTGAAAATTGTTCATCTTGCAATGAACATAAAAGGCCGGTTAACGCTTTAAGTAGATTCAGCCATAAAAACTATACAACTAACTATTTAGATGTTAAAGTAAATCGGCAATTTTTGAAATATATATTACTTAATATTAAAAATTATTAAATACTATTTTGAAATATTCATTTGCATATTATGATAGTTAATCTGCTAAGTATAACAATGCATGTCTGTACAAACAATATTTACTATAAAAAATATTAAAATCACAAATCGTTATCATACTTAAATCTGACTTACCTTGGGAATTTCCATTTGAAATGTTTAAATAAAAGCATAATACACCGATCAAAAGATTCACACCCTTCATTGTCACTTTAACTCGATCAATTTCTTGAATGTTGCAGTTCGCAGCCAACAAGTTATTTAAAGATATTTCTTGGAAAACACGGTGACCACCTGATGTTATGTTAATTATTGGGAATTTTAAATTTCTGCATATACCAGTTTTAAACCAGGATTATAATATTCGATATAAACAAAAAACAAGAGTGTCTATCGAAAATGTATATAATAAAATAAACGACATACTCTGGAACTGAAAATGACTCGATTAAATCTGAATTAATATGCGAATTGTAAGAAAAATATTTAATGAATTATTTGAGGTTTTGTATTTTAAACACCAAAGGATCAACTCATAGAAGGTGCTACCTTAGAACTTCAGCCGGTGCTCACCCGGAACAATAATTGGATAAGTAAATTAATTTATATATTATGGGCTTATATTGTGAGGTGACTGACTCAACGTTCATTTTGTAGGATAGGTTAGGGAAATTTTTATTACGAAAAGGAATGAACAGTGGTGTACCTATTTAGGATCGTTGGATCCTCTTCGGGCTAGAGGCAAAACAGACCGAAAAACATACTGAGGTAGCGGTGTTTTATCTTGGAGGCTATTGAGATGTAGTCACTATTTAAATCAGAGGCAAGAGGCTTGTCTGGATTTATCTGTGCGAGTCTAAATCGGCAAAGACGAAAACCGTGTTTCCTAGTGACCCTTGTTCCTGTAAGCCTTTTGTACGTCTGCGACCAACTTCAGAGCCAGTGTATTGTTTAGAGTTTAATAGACAGTCTCAACCGTTTCCAAGTCAGGCGAGAAAATAGTTGCGGCTATATTTTTACCGGAACGGACAGGTATCATTGAGTATTGAGATTGGGAATCCGCAAAATACCAATATCCCATTGTTCGGAGTAAGGAAAAGTGATTGGGTTATAGATAGACACGGTAAGCTAGCGGTGCAGCCTCAAGGAAGTAAGCGTATTCATCCGGGACTTCATCAATGCAAGCCTGCATTAGAACGGACGAAATATTAAGTTTTTTGATTTTGGGCTTCCGGGATCTTACATGACCTAGATGAGAACAGGAACTTTTTAGGTTTTTTTTTGGGTGAAATATGGGGGGCCGTTGATTGTTCTGAAAGTAAAGTTCCGTTTCAGAGCTTTGATTCTTTCGATGATTGTGGCAACATTTGCGGTATTGTGGATTTTACGGGATGGGGAGTACCAGCGTTTCCTGCATACACGACGCAGAAATCTGCGCTCCACAGCTAGCAGTTTTTTCTTTTGATAATTTCTAAAAAGGCAATATAAGTTAGACTTATACTCCAAAACAGGCCGAGTGAATGTTTGGTAAGTGTGTACGAGAGTCTTTGTATGTGTTTTTTTAATTACCCCGTAAGTGGTAGAAGAAGTCAGGCTCAGTTTCTGATCCTATCTAAAGTTGCCTTTGGATCAGGTTCCCAGTTGAGTGTCCTAGTGAATATAACGCCCAAATACGAAGCTGTCGAGCTGATAACGAGCTTTAGTCAGTCTTTATTGACTAATTAGTCATTGATCAACAGCAATTGATTTTCACACATGTTGTAGGGCTGCGAAACACAATTGTTTGTGTTTTTGCTGCGTTTAGTCTGACTCTCCACTTATTACACCATTCCTCGCGCCGTTTAAAAGAGTTTGTGCTCTTCTGAAAGTTCTCTCTCTGTAAGGAGGGCAGTGTTATCTGAATAGAGATACAGTTGGGTACATGGGATGTTTAGATTGAAAATGCTGCTATTGTTTATTATATTTAGTAAGGGTGTTAGCACTGAGCCTGGTAAACTCCAGCTCGTGGAGTGAAGGGTGTTGATATTTGATCGCTTATTCTCACTCTAACAGTTCGTTTCATATTGTAAGAGTGTACGATTTTATTGAATTGTAGAGGTAACCTCATGTCAATTAGCTTCCGAACTAGATCGTCGTTCCAGACTTGATTGAAGCTCTTTTAACCATCTAGAAAAGTGGCAATGTCGATAGAATTGTCGTTGATTGATTGAGTGACTTTAGAAGTGAAGTCTATTAATGCATTTTGAGTGGATTTATTGGCTTGGAATCCATACTGAAATTTTGTGATGATGTTATGGATTTCGAGAAAGTCGCTGAGTCTCTCTTTGAGGACGAGCTCGAGAAATTTCCCTAACGTGTTGATATTGTTTTGTATGATTCCACCTTAGTTCGAGGTTTTCCAGTTTGGTTATCATGATGGTGTTATAAAGAATACTACCTTCCATGGAATAGGAAAGTAGCTATTTTTAAGACATGATATAATAGTTTTTGTTACAAGTGGGATGATACTCTCTGGAAGTTTTTTAAGGCAGCTTCTACTGATATTATCAGGTAAGGGAGAGTTATTTTTGCCAATTTGGCAATAACTCACTGTTTCTTTGTGAGTTCAATACTACAATATTAAAATAAAATAATAATACATTCATTTTAAATTTATTTGAAAAAATTATTAACAAATGTATGTACACTTATTGTATTTAACTACCGCTTAAATGATACTATTACTTGTAAGCTAAGAGAAATGGCTTGTCGTATTTACTCAAGGCCAGACATTAACTTGAATCCATTTGATATAATTGGATATCCTGGTAAAAGCCGTTGGAAATTGTTTCTTGCCACAAATTCTTGATCCGAAGGATGAAACTCCTACTGCGTCATACATGCATGGTTGCTCATTACTATTTTTGCGGTATATCTGCAGGGGACTGCCAGAGTCAACCTGAAAAATATAACAAGTAAAATGTAACTAGTATACACATATTAAAAAAATAATAATTGCCAGTATGTTGCCTTCTGAATAGGATTACAAAGTTTTTAAAAGACGTTTTAAACAAATATATAAGAAATTAAACTATACTGGGTGCAATATTAAACAAAAATTATGTAAACATATGTCCTTTTATGCTTAGTGTAATGTAAACATAGCAAGAAAATAAAGAATAGAAAAAATAAGGGCTAGTAACATAGGGAGAATAATAATCATTTAATTAATTATTATATATTCCATATTAAATACAGTAACGTATACATTTTTAATTATACAAATAATAACAATTGACCTAGTTTGACACAAGCCCGAATGTTTAAGAATTACGAAATCTGAAGACCTTCGTGAAAATTAATACAACGAAGCGACACACCATCGCATGTTACATTCCAACACGTGGAACAGTACAGCAGAATCAGCAAAATAAACTAGGAATGTTCGCGGGACATAAAAACTAAAAAAATTATTCAGTCAGTCAGTAATAGCTGGGCACCGTGTGACTGCCCGCTCAGGCAGTGATCGCCGGCTCCGGGTCGGACGCAATAGCGTCCAGTACGCGATCAGTAATAGCAAGGCAGTCGGTGTCTTCGGCGTAAGTGTCGAGTACCGGAGTTCGAAGTTCGTGACAAAACGAAATAGTCTCCTCAACTGAATCCGAATTTCCAGATGAACTGAAGGGCGTGTCACTAGCTAGAGCCTAACTACACGAAAGGTAACAAATTTCCATATACTAACCTGAGTAATTATATAGTACAGATTGTCACCCCTTTACTTTCTTGCTAAGCTCTCTTCTCGTCTCCCTGTGAACGACTTATTATTTTGTATATTTAACAGCTTGTTAACTTAATTGTAATCCACTTAGTATATTCAATACATTTGTAGACTCCAATGTTGGTTTTAATGTTCCTTCCGGCCGATTCAGACAGAGACCAGGAGAGTACAAGATTTCTGCTTATGCATATCTCCGGCTTCTAAAGTAAGCCCATAAACTCGATTCCTTTACAGGACCTGAGACCTAGAAGTCCTTAACCCTTATTCCGAACCCTCCCTACCTTCTCGTAAATCCAGTCAAAGGAGAACCAGTCAGTTAGGACCAGTGGACCAGTAAGACTTGCAGCCGCTCGCAGCGATAGCATCCTTTAAGGTTCATATCAACTACATCACATTAGATATGTGGCTTGTATGGTTTCTAAACGATTTTACACTCGTTAAACTAAGTGGCATTGAACGGGAAATTGAAAATGCTACTGAAAGATAATCCGTTTTTTTTTTATTTTTTGTTGAATACCCAAGAAGAAGAACATCCTGATTAAATAACCTCAGAACCTGGTTCAACACAACATCTGTGCAGCTTTTACGCGCTGCTGTGGACAACACTCGTCACCGTTAGGCACTTCACAAAGAAGACCATGATCTATAACATGTTGGCAACCAGGTAAATTTGGTACCAAAATGATCATTATCTGCATTTTTTATATAAAATTATTTGATCGGGATAAAGGATAGGAAGAAAGAATTTTAATGAAATTTTGTATTTAACTCACGATATCTTGGTTCGGTTAAACACATTATCAACTAAAATTGTGATTATTTTCCAACAAAAAATAGTAGATAATATTAAAATGTCACAAGAAAACAGCTTCACCACCGTATGCATATATTCTATTTTATTAAGGATCTATTACATTAACGCCATTGGGCAAAAAATACATTACCTGGCATCCGCCTGTTTTTCCTCCAGCACATACTATTTTATTTTTCACTATACCCTCTGGTAATACACTTTTTGCTAAAGGAAAGAACGTGTTATTACAACTTTCATTACTATCAAAGTTTAGGGAAAGTTTTATCATGTGCGTTTGTTTCTCTTGGTTTCCAAAGTCATCCCCAGTTGGACCCCATCCTACAAAATAGAAAATAGTATAAGATTAAATAGAAACATAGAAATAATTTAATGAATGTAGATTATAAAACTTTTTTAAACCTTTTTAAACCTTGATAAAGATATTGGTAATTACTGGAGATAGCGAAGAACCCATTGGGGCACCATTTATTTGTATGTAGAATTGATTTTGAAAGATTGAGATGAAAAGAATTTTTGAAGAAGGATGAAGCATTTTCGGTGAGACGTTGTAGAGTTTTGGCCAATTATTTGGCCAATGATGTAAGTCAGTGTATACACTGACAATGAGACGTAAAAGAATATCGTGTTTGTGAATTTTGGGTAGGCCATATATTCGAGGTGTTGTGAAAGACTTTTTTAGGAGGAATAAGTGATTGTACAGGGTTACGCAATTGAACCGTTACCAATTTCACATCGATATATCTGGCAAACGATAATGATAGCTACGTCAAAGTTAGCCTGATAATACTTCAGTATATTGTTTATAAGCCATCAAAAGCATTTTAATTTAAGTTTTATACATACAACAAAAGTTATTCGCAATGGAATTTAAACGTAATAGTGTGATTGCGTTATATTTAGCTGGAAAATCACAACCAGCTATTGTTCGTCAGCTCAAACACCTTAAAGTGAATTCAATGTTTATGTATCGCACCATAACTCGTTATAATAATACTGGTAGCATTGCCTGCCAAACGCTATAGTAGTGGACGAAATAAAAAATTATACGTGAATTGGCCAAAATAACGGAAGATCACATTCGTGCAGCATGCAACTCGTTTTTTGATCGTTTGAGGGCCATAGTCAAGGCAAAAGGTTTCCACATCAAGCTAAAGTGAGTCGATTGTATAATTTTGAATATATTCACATATTTTGTCATTTGAATCAACAAAAAATAATTTCACACAAAAAAATTATGGTCGTTTGAATAGGTAACAGTTCAATTGCCTAACCTGTATTATGTCAACTGGATGAGAGGTTTTATCGATAATAGCTTTTATTGTTTCTCCAGATAGGTTGTTGGATTATTAGGAATTGGTCTGTAGTCTGGAGTATAAACGAGAGTTGAGAGTTTTTTAATATAAGAAGAAGTGTTTAGGATGGCGGTGGCACTAACTCTAGCGATATAAATTATCTAGTTATTTCAACAATAAAGCACTAAAAACTTTGTTTTCAAAACTTCCGCAAAATTTATTATATTTTATCACTACAGCTGTTTCGGCAGAGTGCCTGTCTTAAGTGATCTATTTTTGGATGGATTAAGGAGGTGAGAACTGTTTGTCTCAATTTGGTCATTCATATTTATGTTTTTTGTCTGTGTTTTTTAATTTGTTAATTTTCATAGATTCTATTAAAAATAGCTTAAGACCTTTATTTTTGATGTGAAGAATTTGAAATTCGTCATTAAAGGAATGATTATGAGCTAGATGGAGAAGTGCGTATGTAGAATATGTTTTCCCATTATTGAAAACCCTTTTATGTATGCTATACGTTTGTGAAAGGTTCTACCAGTTTGACCGATACACTGGACACTGGACACAAACTCGAAGATCTGCTTCTTTAAAAAACTGGAACCATGTAGGTATTTTTCAAACTTGTTGAAAATGCCGCAAACCTCTTATATACAAATCTCTTAGGTGAAAGACGACATAAACAAAAACAGTGATTACTCGTTTAAAAATTGACACATTACATTGAGTATAATTCACTTTTTCAACATTTTGCCGGTTTTTTAGACTAAATACACTGACATCTGTTCTCAATGACCAATCATTCAAACCTGACTTTACTTCGACCTTCCTCGTACCAGCCGGCTTCCTCTGCCTCACTTTTCCCCTCTAATCCGACCGCGCAACGAGCCAACTCAAAATTCTTGTCAAATACGCTTCTCATCGTATCATAAATGACCTTGACTTACAAATATAAACCATATTTAAGGTCTTAACGTCACAGTTATAACTGGAATTTGGAATTTTTTCTTTGCATCACAATTTAAATAGAGAATCAGCGAAATATTTATACTCGGGCCAGGGGTGTACCAGACAATTTTTTTACTTTGAATATTCAATATTTAAGGAATTTATTATGCTACACTTTATAGTCTCTAACTAAAGAAGTTGAGCAGGGGAGAACTGTTTGTCTCAAGTTGACCATTTCCCGTTGTTCTTAATATATTTGTCCAAGTTGTTATTTGTTCTAAAAGCGGGTGTTATTCCTTTCTTTTTTATGTGTTTGGCTATTTTTGTTGACATCTGGCCTGTATATGTATTCAAGCAGAAGGTACTGGGTTTTTTCTCTGGTAGTGGAAATAGAAATTTGAGGGGTTTCTCACTGTTATCCATGAATCATTTGACCCTCTTGTCGTTGCTTTTATTAACGATCACCATAAATTGTTTTTCTCTTATTCAAATTTAAGAGCTCTTTCTTAACTTCTATCTTCTTAACTTCTATTCTTCTTATTCTACAACTCGATGTACTAGTTACTGTAGATCGTCCAAATATTCCGCTATTAATACTCTATCGTAAATATAAAAAGTACACCATACTACAGAGCTAAGAAAAAATAGAATTGGATACTGATGCTAATAGTATTACTTTCATAAGATTTTAAAATTTAATTAGAAGAGTTTATTGACGTTGTGCCAACTTGTTTCTTTTTTTGTAAGAGCCTCACATATGTATCATCTGAATAGGAAACCACAGTAGATGAAAAAATTACTTAGTACAAGACAATCTACGTGACTGCATAATTTACAAAACAAAAACATAATTTAAAACTAGTAAAAACTACAAAAGTATAATATATAAATAACTCAAATATCCATTATTTAGCATAGTTACCTAGTTAGCTACTTTTTTTTTGACTTACCTGGGTGAACACCGTATCCATCTGGATCCTCATCGCTGGTGTATAAACATATTGGATTTACAAACTTATTAAAGTTAAAATCTTCTGTGACCTTAATAAGCGCTATATCATTGTATATCGCTGGACGTTTGAATTCAGGATGAATTATAATCGAGTCGATAGATCGTACCTGCTCGTTTGACACATCGTTTACATCTGTCACTCCAGCTCTTACAAATTGCGGCTTATTTCTAGAAAATATATATATATATATATATATATATATATATATATATATATATATACAAACAACACAGTTTATTAGGGTTGCAGTCAGAATATTGGCCGGGATGTTAAAAAAAACACTCTTTTGACTTTTTGTCGAGCTTTCGGAATGGTTTATATCGTAACATCCCGGCCAATATTCTGACTGCAACCCTAATAAACTGTGTTGTTTGTTTATATCGACAGTCAATAATATCCAGTATTTCTTATATATATATATATATATATATATATATATATATATATATATATATATATATATAATATATATATATATATATATATAGTAAGTTACATTGAAGAATTGTGATATTTTTTTTAAATATTTACATAAATGTCTTTTACAGTGTCTTGAAAAAGGAATAAAACCATTCCGAAAGCTCGACAAAAAGTCAAAAGAGTGTTTTTTTTAACATCCCGGCCAATATTCTGACTGCAACCCTAATAAACTGTGTTGTTTGTTTATATCGACAGTCACTAATATCCAGTATTTCTTTTGTATATATATATATATATATATATTTATATATATATATAATATATATGCTAAATAAAAACAGAAAAACCTACCACAGATATCTTAGGAGAAGCCACAGATATGTTAAATGAATTGGACTTTGCATGTTGGAAGGTGGGCCTTAGAAAGAACTTGATCAAAACAAAGTTTATGACAAATATGGTCCCCAATAACCATTTAACTATTCAAGATAAAGTAGTAGAACTGGTGGAGAAATATACGTATTTAGGTCATGAAATAAGAATCAGCATGGATAGCCAAACATGCGAAATCCAAAGACGAATTACTTTAGTTTGGGCAGCTTTGGAAAACTTCGATACATGACCGGTAATACGGCTTCCAATAACCAAGACTACGGCTTCGAAATCGAGTGTGGCCAAGACACAGAGATGAATGAAATGGTCTATGCTGGGAGTGCCGTTGCGAGACCAAACAAGAAACGAAGATCTGCGAAGAAGGACGAGTATTGCTGATGTTGTGAAACGCATAGCGGAACTAAAATGGAACTGGACAAGAAATGTAGCGAGAATGCACGACTTTCGATGGACAAGCAAAATTACAAATTGGAGGCCAAGAGCAGACAAACGTAGTTTGTCTCTAGACCTCCTACACGTTGGGCTGATGACGTCAGGCGTATCACCAAAAATTGGCAAGAAAGAGCACAAAATCGTTGGGAATGGAAGAGTTTAAGGGAGGCCTGTATCTAGCAGGAATCGTGTTAAATCAAGGCTAGATGATTATGATGATTACTTCCCTCAGAGGAATTATGGGCCCGACAAGAAAACAGAGAAATGTAAATAAGAATGAACCATGGAAAAAGAAGCTACATTTTGATTTATTAAAGCGTAGATAATGAGATGGTTGAGATACGTAGAGAGAAGGATAAATAACTGATTAAGAAGGTCACTAGATAGAAACCAGTAACTGAATGACCAAGGGGAGGAACTAGAGAGAAATTGGAGGACTAGGTCATGAAAGATATCAAAATAATAAAAGTGAAAAATTGTAGAGATCTGTGCACAGATCAAAAAAACTGGAAGAATGCCCAGTTATACACTTAATTTTGAGAGTACACAAATACGGAGTAATTAGCCGCAATAAACGAATCAAAGAGTTTTAAGTAAGTCCGGCAAACATTCCATCAGGAATGAAAATCCTAGATGACGATGATGATTTATTTATTTAAAAATTATATAACTTTTTTTATTTGTCTAAAATAATTACCTTATTTTTGTATACTTACCTCCCTTCATCATTAACACAGTGAGCTGCGGTAAGAATGTAATTTTTACTAATAATGAATCCACTGCAAAGATACTTAGTTGTATTACTTTTGCTATAAGCGATTTGCACCTAAAATATGTAAATAGGAATTAGATTCAGATATATTTACATATATGTAATTAGTAACAAAACTGTAAAGGGATTCAGTGACGGGAAAAACGTCATAGAGCGGCTTAATATATCTGGTCACAATAGTACATTGTTTACCGGGTAGGAAAAGCTTAACATTCCTGGACGACTGTGAAGATTGCTAAGTCAAGGCGCAAGCCGAGACTTAGCAACACAGAGTCCAGGAATGTGGCTTTTCCTACGAGGTAAACATACTATTTTTTCCGCAAATCGTTTAAAATTCGACAGATATTGATTGATTTAAAAAAAACGCGATAATTTTATTCCCAAATAAATGGTGCTTTGAAATTCCTAATAAAATTACTTGGGTTACTATGGAAACGTATTGAGGTTGAATTGTCAAACTTGACGCTTATAAATTTAATTTATGTAGAACACTAACAACTGTACGGAATTATCATTTCCTTACTGTAAGGAAATGACATTTCCTTACAGTAAGGAAGTCCTGACTTTTTCTTCAAGAAATTTTGACAGGAATGTCAAAATTTCCTGGCGATTTGCGGAAAATTGGATATTATTTTAGCATTGCCACACGTTCAAAACACTTTATTAGTTTTATATGCTAAATATATATACCATGCAGTGATCGTTTGTGACTGATGATTCACGAAATAAATTACCTCTATATGCGTTGGTGAAGTGCTAAAATAGAGACTTTGTCAATTTTAGATTTATGTTTGAACAGGGATTTTCTAAATTATGGGAATCAATAGATTTAAGAATTGTTTGTAAATAATAGATTGCATTAAAATATGATATCTACCTGCCGTTTTCAGAGATTCATTTCTGTTGTCTCAAAAGCGATCATTAACGGTGAAGGAGAAAGTAGAAAGTGATTGTCTTGTATGATTTGTACACAATTACGGAAATTTGAAATTAGTTGAGTTTTAAGAATTTGGAGAGTTTTGGTATTTGGTTGAATGCAAAGAAAGAATGTTTTGATTGATTATAAGAAATTATTGAATAGATAGACAGCTGGGAATGAGATTGAAAAGGCAAGGAGAATCATCTGCTTCCGGACTTGAAGCAAGTGAAGACAAAATCGAAAGGAGAGTGTCGATAGTTTGTTTTTTAACCAGTGAAAGAGAAATTATTGTGGTGAAAAGTAGTACAAAGAAAGTGTTGAAAGCTGTAGTTGCAGTATTTCACGTAAAATAATTCTCTATTATTTGAGCAAAACATAGCTAAGGAGAATTTTGGCCCTGCAATAGACAGTTTTGTTTTTATAAGTAGAACCCGGGAAGGAGTTTGTTGGATAGGAAACTAATTAAAGTAAATCCTTTTAGGAAAATACAGAGGCAAATTGTGGAAACGAGATATTGCTTGAACTATATTTAATTTGAATTGGTTTTGTGGTTGATTGTATAGTAATTTAGGGGAACATTTATTTATAAGATATTTATTTAGTGTAGGAAAATCTACAAAGGTATTTGGTCATTATATTTTGAATTTATTGCACCAATTGATTTCTTTAATTTATTTCCTTCTACTCCTCTTTTTTCTCAAGCACTATTAAAAGAAAAAGTAATGTTTTTGAACTCAATTAAGAACCCTGAGATAAGAAAAACATATATTTTCAATATGTTTATTAATCTGGCGTCTACATTAAAATTCATGAAATAAATTTTTTGTTTTAATATATAAATATTTATTCAAATTTAATATATTCTTCAGTAACTACAAATATCCTGTTTACACAATTCTCTGTTTGGTTAAATTTTACATTTAATAATGTTTCCAAATTTTCAAATCTTTAATATCGTCACTTACCTGGCTAATATCAATTCCTGCAATGGGATACCCAATACCCAATACAACAACAACCTTAGCTATTACATTAACTTCAACGGGAACTTATTTAAAAAATCACTAATTTGTGATTCCTAAAATCGCAACTTTATTGAATCTGTAACTTGTCTAAATTTTAAACATACAGAAAAAATAGTCTAAAGCTTTCTGATAGTCTACAGTATCACCTTTTTTTATCTAAAGTCTAAAGCTTTTCGATAGTCTACAGTATCCCTTGACAACACAACTGCGAATTAAAATCTAATACGTTTTCCCTTGTATAATCAATAAATATTACCATATGAGGAAATTCTCCGTTTTCTGCTAACATTCCTCCAATTAGGCTGGTCTCTCGCGGGAGAGGACAAATATGATTATTTTTGGCATCTTCGGTGTATCTTTTACACACTGAAATATAAAAAATGTATTATCATCAATAAAATTATTCTAAGTCCTACAAACTTACTTTCGTTGGCAACAGCAATTGAACTTGAGTCTAAAATTAAGAAAAATTATTATTTAGTACATTAGAAAGATTACTGCATAAATATAGGCATAATCACCTCCCCGATAAGGCTAAAAACCGTTTATTAAAAATATTTAATGATTGACTTCTGGAAGGAAATTACATTGACAAACTGAAAGAAACAATATATCTATTAATTAAACCCAACAAAGACAAAACTCTCTCATTGTCTGATCGATCCATTTCTTATTTTAGCATTTTAAAAATCTTTGGTATATATTGAAATCCCCTCGTATATGTTAAAACACCAAAGAATATTTTAAATGTATTTCATTTCCTATTCTACGTATTAGAATACCGAAATATTCTTTCAGTTCTTTTCGCGTCGCTAGAGTTGATAATAAACACATTTTTAGAGTTTGTTTATATATCGCAGACGCATCGTTATTGGTATTTTCTTTGATCGAAGCCGCTTTAAGATATTTTTCGTCGTCAAATAAACAAAATACTCCCGTTTGTATGTTTTGTTTATACCAAGTTGAACGAATGAATTTTAAAGATAATTACATCACTCTCCCTGAAGCCATTGTCAGGGGCAGTTGGTTCCAGGTTAGTTCAAATTTTTTGTCAAATTTGTAAAGTTTTTCCGTTTTTTTCATCCCTTTTCATGAAAAATGTGTAACAGTATTAAGTTTAATGAATAGTTACTGTTTTAAATGAGGTTTGGAAAAATCGTTGAACAGTCGGGCCGCATGTGAGTGTCGGCGTCAAAAACCGGAAAATGTGTTGAAAAACAATGTGAATTGTGCTTAATGTAATGTGTTAGTTTTGAATGAGTTATTACTGTATTTTATTTTCAATGCCGTTTCTCATCTGAGATAGTTGTAAAACGGCGTTTACAACAACTTTGAAGGATAACCACACGCTTCCATTTCATTCCAGAACGTTTTCCAAGTCCAATTCCTAACCCCAGAAAGTCCAGTGAAGTCCAGTTACACCCTCAGAAATTTAAAGTAAAGATATTTTAGTAAAATCCAGGTATTACTTTTGTGTTGATTAGTAAAGATAAACATTTTCTAATAATAATTGCTTTCATAACAATTTTAAAAAATTGTAATAATTAAAATTATAGATGTTAGGGCGTGGCCTAGCTAGCTGTCATGTTATTTGCTCTCAGTTTTAAGATTTAGTTTTGACATATGACACAATTTTTGACATTTGCAAAATATCCAATCATATTTGAGATTTGGTTTTATTTTTAAAAAAGGTTAACCCCTATGCATAGTAAGTGCTATGTAAGTGTTTCTCTTTGTTATTTTTGTATTTACTTTTGTAACTGTTTGTGATGAGACAGTAATAAATGTTTAATTTTTTCCCTAAACCATTTTGTTTATTTATTGTAAAAAAGTTCCTAACCCCTCTGTGTTTTTAGAAAGGGAGAACCTTTTCTTCCATCTAGCAGGAAGTTTTCTCAAAGCGGCGTCCTTATTTCAAATAGCTAGGGGACCTTCTTGTGTTTTGTTTGTTCCAGGAGACTCATCTAAGTACCCTTTTGTTTTATTTTTTGTAGTTTCCCCAATCCAACCCCCTTGACATTTACTTATCCACGACCCATTTCTCCAAATAAACCCTAAGAACCGTTCGCAACAGTTTCGTTTATTTTGCTATGGTCTTGTATAACAAAAACTTTCGAAAGAATTATCAAAAATCGTTTTAGCTGGACAGTCGAACACTATAATCTTTTGCCAAGCACTCAACATGGATTTCGATCTGGTCTTGATACACTAGATGCAATAAGTCACTTAACAATAGATATGTTGATGACTAGACCGACCTGTTTCGCCGCTGTTTCCAATTCTAGGAGATATTGCTCAACATCTCGCTTGTTACGCCCTATTATGTCAATGTCATCAGCATATGCTAGGACTTGTATCGATCTATTGTAAATAGTACCGCCATCCCTAATTCGTGTATCTCGAACTGCCTTTAAGGCAATATTAAATAGGAGGCAAGCCAGAGCATCCCCTTGTCTGAGTCCATCCTTTATCACAAAGGATCTAGAATTTTCTCCCTGTATTCTAACAGTGGCTTCTAAGTTAGACATTGTCATTCTCGTTAATCGGATAAGTTTTTCTGGTATACCAAACTCATGCATTGATTGGTATAGCACTGTTCTTTTGAGACTGTCGTATGCGGCCTTGAAGTCGACGAATAATTGATGGGTTTCAATACTGAATTCTAATGTTTTCTCGAGAATCTGTCTTATTGAATGGATCTGGTCAATTGTTGATTTTTCTGGAGTGAATCCAGCTTGATATTTACCAACTATGCCCACTGTGTAAACTTGTAGCCTTTCATAGAGAATATTTGCTAGTATTTTGTAAGCAGTTGTTAACAGGGTTATACCTCTATAGTTGTCATACTGGAGCTGGTCACCTTTTTTATGTAACGGGCATATCACGCCTTGAGACCATTCACGAGGCATCGTCCCATTATGCCAAACAAGAAGTAATAGCTTATGCAGTGTCTGTAGTAGTCCATCGCCACCATTCTTGTAGAGCTCACTGCAAATTTGATCAATTCCTGGTGATTTATTATTTTTAAGCTTTTTAATGGCTTGGGCAACGTTTTCGATGGTAGGTTGTCTTTCGTTTGGGTTGAAAGGATTCCAATCATTTCGATTTGCTAGAGTGTTATCTGCTTCTTCGATATGATGGCGATTTTGCATCGAAAAATTCAACCCATCTGTTTATCTACTGAGTAGGTATGCTGTATGAATTATCCATACAAAATCTAGTAAACAATTATTGGAATATAAAAAATTCACCACCATTAGCGAGTGCCTTACTGTAAATTAATGATTTACCAGTTACGCTTTCAACAAATTTTATTATACCATTCTATAAATTAGAATTTAATACGATCTTAAAACAAATATCTCCGAAATATTCAGATTCACGTCAGATCAATAACAAGTTGTTGAATTCCATATTGAGTAAATATACTAATAAAACTATAATTTACACAAATGGTCGTAAACTAAACGATGAGAAGTAGGGTCTGAAGGGTACATTCCTTCCAATAACAAATCATTTAAAATAAAACTTCCTCTACATTGCTCTATTTACAATGCAGAAGCGGTAGCTATTAGGAAAGCTCTGAATTGGCTATAACACGAAAATTTGCAAGATGCTGTGATCATCTCAGACTCTAAGTCAGTTCTGAGTGGACTTAATAATACTGAGTTAAACCATAAGACATAACCAAAAAATTACAGCAGGATAAAAGGCAATGAAATAGTAGACGAGCTCACTAATGGTTCTGATCATTCCGGTATACAAGGATATTCTATACACACGTCAACGTCCATGTATATACACTATCGGATCAAATTAATTTTTATAATAAAAAAATAAATTTTAACTGATGAAAAATAGCAAATCATAGCAGATAATCATTATTACAAGATTCATCCTACGTTACCATTCCTAACAGAATTGCCACACATATTCCATTATAATATATCCAAACGATAAGCAGCAACTATCACAAGGTTAAAAACTAGTCACGGTGCTGTTTCTGCTCACCTGGCTAGATTAAACATTATAGAATCAGGAAAGTGCTCATGCGAGCGATAATATTTTCCAGTGTGATGTTAATCACATCCTGTTTGGTTGTATTAAAAATAAAGCACTCTCATCTACATTTGTAATATAAATTAACAATGTTACAATTGAGTTTTAATTCATAAACATAACATAAATCATTCAAGTAACGGTGGTAAATGGACTGGTTTCCGTGCTAAACACAGTATTATTATCATATGTATCTTGAGTGCTTTCTTCACTATCTGCACCCTGATTTATTTTGTGGATTATGGTTCTAGTTAATTGCACTAGTTGAGCTGCTTCATTTGTGAAATGGAAGGCAAAAAGCAACAAGTTTCGGGGTTGTACTATCCAAGCGAACCTCATGAAAGCAGCAGAGTACAAAATTAAAGCTACTGTCATTACGGTACTTATAAACTTAGGATCCTTTCCAAAATCTAAAACTGCTGCTAATGCTATACCCCAATTTCCTATAGGCCCCCAAAAATGTGTACTCATTAAGTAACTTCTGAATTCTTTAGATTTCATTTTTTCGACGAATCTTTTCTTAAATGAAGCCATTTTGTTGTAGTCTAATATATTTTTGAAAAATTAATTTAAACGACCTTTATCTACAGCAAGGTTCTTTTTTTGACGTTTAAATTTGAAGTTTGCGATTTTGACAGTGCCAAAACGCCAGATTTTAAAACAAAAACGGATTTACCCATGATTTACCCAGGCATCGAGCAAAAAGACAAAAGAGGGAATGTAAAGGTAGTGGGGGCAAAAATATTGTTAGACAGGAAGTGCGATCTTTAGAGGCCACATTAAACAAGGAAAGAGGGTCTCACTCCTTGTTTGACATCAAATTTAGTTGGGTTATGTTATTGTTTGTCCCAACTGTCACATAAGAGCTTATTTTTATTGAAGTTATTTAACCATTGTGTCACATTTTAGACTATTGTCGTGTTTATTTAATTAAAACTTTCTTGTCTAATACACATTCTAAAAAATATTTTATAGCTACTGTTCCATGAACTAAAAAAACATAAAATATTTTCCTAATTAAAACAATCATTATATTCAAATTTTCAAAATTTGTACTATATCCATTAGATGAATTAGAACCCCTACACCACTGTATGATTATCGTGAAGTGTTGTAAAATTTAATTTGGCGCCTTTGCATTTCCGGATATGGCCGCCATATTAAGAGGCCACTTTAGGAATTTTGGTCTCCTTTTCATAACCATTAAACTTCCTCTTTTTTCTTTTTAATCGATGATCCCAGGTGAGTATTTAAGTGGTCTGTGGTGAGTATAGCAATCAATTGAAAGTGAACACTGATTTATCAGTCTGTCCCAAGGATTCTGGGAGGGGGGTAAAAAACTGAAAAAACCGAAAAAACCTTTAACACTCTTTATCTGTACCTACAATGCCAGAACATTATTATCTGAAGACAAAGTCACCGAAATGGAAATCGAAATAACAAAAGTAAAATGGGATATCATTGGAGTCAGTGAAGTTAGTGAAACCGAATCAATTGGGGGAGTCGGTTTCTTTATACAAAAAAGACTTGCAGATAACATAGTATTTACAAGAAGCATATCCACAAGAGTAGTCTATTTATTATCTCAACAGCACTGAAAGAATCACCAACACACTACACGATTATATGCGACTTTATCGCAAAGATTGGTCTAAAGCAAGATGAACAGGAAACAGCACTAGGTAAATTTGGATCCAAAGGCAGAAACAAGCTTGGACAAACACTACTAGAATTTCTATTACAACAAAATCTGTAGCAGATAAATAGTTTCTTCTCTAAAAAAGACCACAGAAGATGGACGTGGAAAAGCCCAGACGACAAGATCAAAAACGAGATAGACTACATAATCAGTGACAAAAAACATATATGCCACATATGTTTTTTTGAACGATGCCACAGTCCTTAATAGCTTTACCATAGGCAGCGATCATAGAATGGTAAGAGCCAAACTAAAATTAGATTTAATAACAAAAAGATCCATAATGATTAAGAAGAAAGCCAACCCGATATGGAACGACCTAACGAATTTAAATAAATACCAAGACAATATCAATCAATCCTACAACAAAATGAATACATAAGTAATGTAAATACTCTAAAGGAAAATATCGTAGAAGTTATTCGAGAGGATCAAATAAAATGCTGCCCTAAAAGACACCAAGACGAAAAAATTTAACAAATTTAAACAAAGCAACTAACGAAAACTGAAAGAGAAATCAAAGGAAACGAAAGCATTCTTCTTCTTCAAGTTCCACTCCTATCGGAGATTGGAAATCATTCTGGCAATTATAATGTTATTGGTTACTCGCCTGAATAGTTCAATTGAACTGCATCCAAATCATTCACGGAGATTGCGTAGCCACGAGATTTTACGTCTTCCTACGAAAGCATTGACGAAGAAAAACTACAAAAAATTAATAAGGAAGTATCAAAAACTGTAAGGAAAGATTTAGGAAAATTTAAGAATGAAAAGGTCCACCGAAAAGAATAAAAGTCCTGAGAAGACAGCTGAACAATGGAAAATGTGAAATACACAAACTGAAGAACAAAGAAGGAAGAACCATATCAAATAGAGAAGAACTACTACACATAGTTAAAGACTTCTATCAAGAAATAAACACAATACAAAGAAAAGACCAAACGAACTTGGAAGTCGCCGCATTACGCAAAATCATCAACCAGGGTTCAGAGTTCATGTCAGAGATCACACTAAGCGAAATCCAAGACGCAATGAAAAAGATGAAAAATAACAAAGCACTAGGAGAAGATGGAGTCGTAATAGAAACTATAAAGATGTGCGCACGTGCCCTTCTCAACCAAACAAAAATGTTATTTAACCTTTGTCTAACAGAGTGTTGCATACCGGAAACATGGAACAATGCAATAACAATTTTACCACACAAGAAAGGAAATAAGGAGCACCTAGAAAACTATAGACCAATCAGCTTATTGAACCACATCTATAAAATGTTTACCCGAATAATTACTACAAGACTAGAAAAAAAGTTCAAACGATCACCTACAAACAGTAAAAACTTTAATAGAAAAATATAACAGATCACTGGTACTTATCTTCGTAGATTTTCACAAAGCCTTAGTTACTACAAACAGTGTACCGAAACACCATAAATCGTTTAAAACTACATAATAGAATTACCACCAGAGAAATTCATACAAAGTTAGGTGTGAGACAGGGTGACACTCTCTCACCTAAATTATTTATAACAATCCTTGAATAAGCCTTTACAATGCTAAAGTGGGAAAATAGAGGAATAAAAATATACGAAGAAATGCTCAATCATCTGCGTTTTGCCGACGATATAGTACTTATTACCGAAGATCTGCGTGAAACACAACAAATGCTATGAGAATTAGAAAACGTAATGTTCAACAATAGGTCTAAAAATGAACATCAGTAAGACCAAATTTATGACAAATTTGGTTCAAAGCGAACACCTAACCATCCAAAATCAAGTGGTAGAATTGACAGAAAAGTACATGTATCTCCTATAAACCAAGACGTACGGAAAATAACAGGTATAACTAATGTCGTCGAGCGTATATCCAAGCTGAAATGGAATTGGGCAGGTCATATAGCGAGACTAAAAGACTCAAGATGGCCCAGAAAACTAATTGACTGGAGCCCAAGAAAAGACAAATGCAGCAGAGGATGACCACCAACACGCTGGATGGACGACATTAAACGAATATCCAATAAATGGCAACAAGACGCACAGAACCGTGAATAGTGGCGAAAATGGGAGAGACCTATGTCCAACAGTGGACAGAAGAGGTTACATGACGATGATGATAAAAACGCCATTGATATTTAAATTAAAATTAAACAATATTTACTGCAAAAAACACTAAAATCACAAGTCTTTATCTTAAATCTGACTTACCTTGGAAATTTCCATTTGAAATGTTTAAATAAAAGCACAATACACCAATCAAGAGATTTACACCCTTCATTGTCACTTTAACTCGATCAATTTCTTGAATGTTGTAGTTGGCAGCCAACAAGTTATTTAAATATATTTCTTGGAAAACACGGTGATCACCTGATGTTATGTTAATTATTGGGAATTTTAAAATTCTGCATATACCAGTTTTATAAGAGGATTATAATATTCGATATAAACAAAAAACTATAGTGTGTAATGAAAATGAAGATCATAAATTAAACGATATATTCTGGAATTAAAAATGACTAGAAATATAAATTAATAATTAATTCATATGTTAATTGTAAGAAAAATATTATCCAGAGTTGGAAATGATACCAAACGCAATGCAACGTACTATAAATATAATTTCGAAAACCGTTCATCGTCGTCTTTCCAGGAACGAACGATTAGAACGACTCTAAAACCGATGAAGGAGGTAGAGCTGGAGTATACGAAGGGAAAGTAAGTATATATCTTAGTAAAAGCATAGTTAATCACGCTATTAGTTTCTAAGCAGAAATTAGGCGGCATTAAATGCAGTGGAATTGAATCTAATTGACCAAATTAGTTATATGACATGATTTCAAACCTTAAGGCCTTGGGAGGGTGTATCTGTCAGTGCTTTGGAGGAGAAAGACATATACAAGCCGCACTCAAAATCTTAATCTAAAGTTTATATAGAAAATATGGATTTTATTTTTTTCCTTAGCTATCAAACACTAATCGGATCTATCAATACCACGATAAAAACTTTTGCAATTCTGAATAGCATTTAGCATTATCTCACGGCAATCCTTAAGTCAGTTTTACCTATGTAGTTAAGTAAAATGTAATTATCACACCTTCTTAATAGTTAACCTATTATTGATATCGTAGTATTATGTAAATAAATTCAAATAGACGATGCGATTATTCTGTGGAGATAAAACAATAAATCTCAAAGGCCAGATCAGCCTCAAGTGGCCATAGAAATTGAATAAAGGTCAAATTGTGTCAATAGGGGAGATGACGGCATACGGTTACCTTCGACATGAAGACCTCTTATAAAGAAAATATCGTCCACTCCAGCCTCCAATCAAAATCCTACTCTCAGAAATGTTCGCGACAATTCTCACGCAAAAATTTGGAAATCCACAAAGATAACTGCTTTTATAATCTCCTTCTAAATGCACACAGAGATAGTTTTATATATAGCTATCATTTCAGTTGTACAGATTTGTGTGTAATTATGGAGTCTTGTGGTGTATGTGGTGTATGTGGTGCTATAGAAGGTTTTTGAAAATACCATGGACCCAACGAGTTACAAATGCAGAAGTGTTAAGAAGGCTACAAAAGGATTGCGAGGTCATAAAGCATATCAAAACAAGAAAGCTGGAATATTTAGACCACATTACCAGAGGTGCGAAATATGAGATATTAAGGCTCAATGCAAGGTGAAATCAAGGGTAAAAGATCCATAGGAAGACAAAGAATTTCCTGGCTGAGAAACCTAAGAGAGTGGTATAGTTGTAGCTCAGTAGATCTTTTTAGAGTAGCCGCCAATAAGGCACGGATAGCTGTGATGATATTCAACCTCCGATAGGAAAAAGAACTACAAGAAGGAGAAGTTCTAATATACTTTATTTCTAAAGCTAAATTATCGTTGCATTCTTCATTTCTTCTAATTCCCAAATGCTTTGGGTTCAATATACAATTTTTTTAAATTATTTCTCTATAGAGTTTTAAGAAACAGAAAAACAAGAGTATATTTCCATTCTTGTGGCTTAATTATTGGATTAAATATTATTGACAGTGATTCTAATGCCACCTGAAAAACTCTGTCAATCATACTATGTGTTATTAGATCTAAACCAGTAGTCTTATACTTTTTTTTTATAACACTTATTATTTCCTCTCTAGAAATGTCCTCCACATTCTCATTGGACTAGATAACAGAAAATTCTGGATCTGTTATATCAATTCCCAATTTATCTAATATATCCAAAACTATGTGTTTGCTGGGAAGTTTGGCAGGAATTATTGCATTTTGATATGTGGGGAATTATTTAACAGTTTGCCATATTTCTGCTAGAGATAAAATCAGTTCCTTACAATCCGTTCAATCCATTATAAATGCATCTAAAATTATTTCTTTTTTTATTTTTAAATATTTTTTTGCTGTAGGCAAATATTTTTTTGATTTTCTCATAAAAAATTTGTTGAGAAGTTTTATGATATATACCTCTGTCATTTTGACAATCTAATTGGAGTTTTTCTCTTCTTGTTAGTTGAATTATGTAAGGACTTATCAGAAATTCATGTAGCCATGTTTTTAAATAAACCGTATTTTCGTATTTAAATAATATTGACAGAGGAATTTACAATTATAAAAAATTAAAATTTTACAATTGGCAATGAAACAATTAAATGCATAGCATAAATATTTTTCGTTCTTTTTAAATAATTTTTATAAATAAAATCTCCTTTAAATAATCAATAATACAAAATTACAAAATATATTATCCGAAATCATGGTACAATATACATGCTATAATTGAAGACATTTTAAAATGTCTTCAATATAAAAATTAAAATTATACTATTTCTGCACCAGACCTTAAAATAAGCTTATTTAAATCAATATATTAGACATATGTACCTACTAATCAATAGTTTTGTTTCATCCGATTTTAAATTTCGACTATCAAGTAATCAATAAAAAAAAATCAATCTCTTTGACGACCATATAAACATCAAATTAAATTCAGAATCAAAATTTCCAGTACACGTTCAAAATTCGCAGTGATTCCATTTCGAAGAAAATCTACAAGAATATCAAAAATACCTTCATAAAATATCCAAAATGAGTTGCTGCAGTCCTTGTTGTTCACCCTGCTGCTCCCCTTGCTGTTATCCATGTTATCCCTGTTGCGTCCCCTGTGTATACTACCCGTGCTGTTATCCCTGTTGCAGCCCGTGTTGTCCGCCCAAAGGGGTATGTATAAAAATTTGCCGAAAAACAATCAATTTAATTTAGGTTATATAATTATTTGCACAAAAGAATAATTAATTAAGTAAAAATAATAAGTAGAATTGTAATTAATAATTAGATTTTTTCTTTTTATAGCTCTCCAGCGTCGCCTAATCAGAACCAGTCTTCTCTCAGTATCTAGATATGATTGCTCATCGTCCATGAAGTTTTTTTTTTTATTCTACTCGTTAAGTATGTCTTACTCATCGTGTCGCCTACTTCATTCCTCCAGAATCTTCAGGGTCGTCCTCTTTTCCTCCTTCCTATGGGGCTCCATTCGGATATTCTCGTTATCCATCTGCTGGCGCTAGTTCTTCTTACATGTCCATACCACTTTAGTCTTTTTGTTCTATATATGTTAGTATGTCTGTTTCTATTGATGTTCTTTGCTTTGTCATTGGTGACAAATAATATTCTCATGCACTTGGTCGGTACAATGTTTTTACGTTCCATATTTTCAGTTTTATATCATTATTTAGATTGCAAGCTCTTTTATATATTTTTAAAGATAGAGGTGATTAGCTTATACGCTAACCCCCCTATCGGAGAACGGACTGGTCACAGTTGGAATTCAGTAGAAGAAACTGAAGTAACACTAATAGCATACAGTCAAAAGCATTTAACTTTATAACTTAAGACACATTTAATTTTATAATTAATAAATATTCTTAATTTACTTTTCAATATTACAGCAATTATAATTTGTTTTAGTGCTGCTAGAAGATTCTTTCATTCATAATGGAACAAATATCAACAAAATGAAAACTTACAAAGCAAAAACAAGTCGCAACAGGGCCTTTATGATGATACTGACACATTTCTTCATTTGAAATATAAAATTGCTTTTCAATTATATTTAACAGTTTAATAAAACTTTTTATTTTTTTATCTTTTGTTTAATATTAAATCGAATTTATATAAATTACATGATCTTTTTTTTTTGCAGCTACTGAAGCGGAATTGGGCTTCCTTTATGGGTCACATCTATCCCTTTCATATTATGATTCTCAGCAGCTTTCCTAGTTATTGTCTCACGTACTATTTTAGCTCTATTATCATATTTTCGAACTGCATTCATTTTACCATGAACTCGACCTAGTACATTTTCCTTGACCTTGTATATTTGTTCTACTGTGTTTGGATCCAGACTTTTACCAGATCGTGATCAGAGCTTTTGGCAAGAAATCTACTCTGGATCGAATTATTTTGCAGCTCATCTTTCTTTCAGAAAATTCATGAGCTCGTTCATTCTGTATATTAATTGATAACTTGTCATAATTACCAGTGTGAGACTATTATTCCCCATCCATCTGTCAATTGATTTCGGCATTTCCACACTATCTAGAGACTATCTTTAGTCTAATGTGAGCACCATAGCCGCTTTACTACGTATGCACATGACTCCTTAAGTTTAAAAGTCCTTTTAGTGGTTTCTATTGCACAATATAAGATTGCATAAATCTCTGCCCGGAATAAAGAGGTATATGTTCCTAGTGCCACTGAGATATTTTCACCACTACTATAAATTCTTGCTCCAATCTTTGGTGAAATTTATGCTCATATTTTTCCGAAATTTATATTCTCATATCCATCTCCTTATAAGACAGGTAAGTCTTTGAGTCTTTGCACTGTGCTTGATGTAACGCAACATTTGTTGCTGCACTTTTGGCCACAATACCACTGACATGCTATTTTTTGTTTAGCTACCGATGTTCGAAATCGAATATAACTTGGCTGCTTTTAAATCAATTTTTTCCATCAATGTGTCTGGGTAATATTAAGGTAGTTTCCGCTCTCTTGGTTATTCATTCTCCCTCCTGTAGTATGGTTAATTTCAGGCTAGTTCAGGCTTTTCGACTACTGGTGGTTTATACTAAGTTCTACATTTGACATCCTATTAGGGACTATAATCATGGCCTCTTGAATTCTATTTGATTTTCATTAGCACCATGGGCTAAGATGACTAGATTATCAATATACCCCAGGATATAATGTCCCATTACTAAAACTAGCTACAAACCCATAAA